TAATAATTATTGTTCGTCTCCATTTTTGACGTGAATGTTCCTGATCGTTTGACAACAGTTAAGTTAGTGGCTGTATCTTTGACCTCAGTGGAGACTGTGTACTCGCCACCATCAGAACCAAAATGCTGAATTCCAAGCAACTTGATAGGCTTATTCACAGAGAAGAGGACTCTGTCAGGGAGGACACCGCCGTAACTCCAAGCTCCAATTGGCCTACAATAATAGTTAAATCTGTTGACCACAAAAACAGGAAGCTCCTTCCTTGCTCCCTGCAAAAATGGTAAAGGAGTTTTCAAGACATTGCCGTAGTATTTAATCATGTCCTCAGTCTCCTTCCTAGATAAAATAGCAGTGTCACAGACTACCGTAGCAAACTCCGCTAATGACATCAACGGAAAGCGAATTCTTTTCACGATTTCCTCTCCAAGAAGTCGTCTCTTTGTCTCTCCATCAAGTGTAAGTCCCTGCCGTTCTCCTTCTTCTGTGGCCCAGCGATCAACAGCTTTGAACAGTTCCACTTCCGTCACGCACAACACTTCTCTCTTCACAAGAGATTCAACAACAGATCGCTCAGCTGTGACAAAGTGTCAAAATGGGAGTGAAAGGGTAAATTTCTCACTTAAAGCCTCACAACAGAAAGATTGGTCTTAGTCTCGGTCTCTCAACTATTATATCGCCGTGAGGTACGAGTCCTTTTTCCATTCTTTTTGAAGATAGAAGATGATCGTTATTAAAGATTAAAGGATTTGAGAGGAAGTGTTGATAGAGCTGTGTTTCATAGAGAAATTACCGGGGGTAAACCTTGCACCAAAAGACCAGATATCACTGGCTAATTTCAAATCTAAGAAAGATTGTCAAACCCTTTTTTGATCATTTTTATTTATTATAATGAAAACTTTATCTGTAAATAGAATTGATAAGCTCTGAGCTACAATAACTGAGTCTCCATGACACTATTTTATTGGATTAACCCGTTACACCTTAACATCAAAATCCATCTTCTCCATACTCTTTTCTATACATTTCCTTTAGTACTGATAAGGAGAATTTGCTTAACAATCAAAATTTCTTAGGTTGGCGTTCATTTCCTACTTTCACGCGATCTTAACAAACGATCTAGCAGCGTGATTACTGTAAGGAAAATTAGATGCTGGTCACTCTTAGAGTAAAAAGGGTTTCAGCTATCACAAAATGATTAATTTGAGTCAATTCATTTTGTTAGCAAGGCTTCGCACATTTTTGCTGTAATAACCAGTAAGAAATACTGTGACCAATTTCGCAATATAAAAACATTCACCACGCTCAGCGATCGATCTTTCCATGCCGCCGCCCCTAAATTGTACAACGATCTTCCGGGCTCTATCAGAAACACCCAATCTTTAAACAAGTTTAAGAAGGCTATTAAGACTTTTTATTTGCCAAAGCTTTTTAATTCTTTGTATCTAATTTCATATTTTTACATTTTCTTAGTGATCATTTTTTATTTATTTATTTATTTATTTTATTTTTATCTTTTTAAAATTTTTTTAATTTTAATTTTTTAATTTTTAGTTTTTAGCTTCTATGTAGGGGTTGAAATTTTAACATTTAATTGTAATGCGCAATTGAAAATTCTTATCTTGATAACTGTGCAATATAAGTCTATAAATTATTATAAAATTATTAAAAACTAACTGAGTCAGGATATTGATATCAACTGTACGTAGATACAGATACAGTTCAGATGAAAATAAAAGCTGGAAACTGGTCTCCTGCTACGTTGGTACCGTTGCCAGTATCTGTTGGATCACTGAAAGTAAATTGCACTCCTTCTGCTTCAACAGACGTTCGTCCATCTGTTCAGCTCCATGACACCGGACCGTTGATAAGTGACTCTACCTTATACTGCTTATTTGCCTCCAAGCAGACAGGACTATTAGATAAAACAAAAAAGCCATAATAATTATTGTTCGCGTCCTTTTCTGATTTGAATATTCCTGATCGTTTGACAACAGTTAAGTTTGTGGCTGTATCTTTGACCTCAGTGGAGACTGTGTGCTCACCACCATCAGAACCAAAATGCTGAATTCTAAGCAACTTAATAGGCTTGTTTACGGAGAAGTGAACACTGTCAGCCATCCAGCCGTAGTTGGCTCATAATAATCGTCAAATCTGTTGACTCGAAATACAGGAAGCTCTTTCCTTGCTTCCTGCAAAAATGGTAAAGGGGTACATTGCTGTAGCATTTCATCATGTCACCAGTCTCCTTCCGAGATAAAATAGCAGTGTCGTCGACTACCGTAGCAAACTCCGCTAATGACATTAACGGAAAGCGAATTCCTTTCACGATTTCCTCTCCAAGAAGTCGTCTCTTCGTCTTTCCAATAGGTATAATTCCCTGCCGTTGTCCTTCTTCTGTGGCCCAGCGATCAACAGCCTTGAACAGTTCCACTTCCGTCACGCACAACACTTCTCTCTTCACAAGAGATTCAATAACAGATCTCTCAGCTGTCACAAAGTCGTCTGACGTCACAGCTTCCTCTGTCTGCCTCTCAATCACTTCCCAGCATCGATCTTCCAAATCTCTATTTTCAAACTTCTGAGCTTGCAGCAGATTACTAAACACGTCTGACCCCGTCACTTTATCACAAAGATATTTCGTACATTTCTCAACGAGTGAAGGCACCATGTACTTTTTCAAGTATAGTACATCACTTGCATCACATTACTTCCGCTTAAAGTCACTTCGTCGCTGTAGAGGAAGCGAAAAAACTCCAACAGACTGTCGTAATCACAGTCAGGTAGTTCAATACAGTCTTTGGTCTCGGCCATTTGACCATAGAACATGGCAAAGAACACAGGACTACTGATTGCTAGCACAAACTTATGAGCTGGCATCGCTTTCGTACTTTTGCTTTCTCCACTCGACACAGGAACCACAAATTTCACGTCGCTTAGCATCTCGTTGTTGAAAATAAACGCGGATCTCTCGAAGATAGTTTGGTGTTTTGTCTCACAGTTGTCTTCAGCGGCCATTGCTATGCTCCAGCTTCGTATCCGCCGCAGATTTTTTCCTCATATAGTGAGAAACGACTTAACACTCTTCTTCTCTAGGATAGCAACGCTGAACTCATTGCAGGCTCCTCCCGTCACGAAATTGGCGGCTACGTAATCTACTGCAGGCTGAGATGCTTTTTTTGCCAAAACTATGAAATAAGTTAGTATTTGAAAAGAGTAACATGCATTTATGACGGGCATTTCTGTCAAATTGCCGAGCAACACCTCAGTTGTTGACATGAAACAAGAGATCTATTGGAAATTGTTTACCGTAGCAATTAGATTTAGCGCCCTCCTTATAATAAACGTTCCCTCTGTGACAAGCGACCCCCCTCAAATTTGTTTTTGTTGCTAAGCGCCTCTATTCTAGTAAGCGTCTCTATTGATTAAGCACCGTCATTACAACTAGCGCCCCTTTTTCCAATAAACGCACCTATTCTGTTTCAATAATAACACTATTGGAGTACGTGTTCATTGAGATCGACTGTGGTCCATTTTCCTTTAACCCTTTAACTCCCAAGATCTCATTAGTAATTCTCCTTACTGTTTGTCATACAGTTCTTGTGATGTTAGTTTGGAGAATATGGCATTGGATCAACTTATAATCCCTTAACTGATATTTTTATTTATTCTCATCACTTGTCTGCTTGATATTGTAATGATATTGTAAGGAGAAAATCTGTCTTGGTCACTCTTGGGAGTTAAAGGGTTAATTGCATTCTTAAAGCCTCACGACAGAAACATTGGTCTTAGTCTTGATCTCTGAACCATTATATCGGTGTGAGGGCACAGATCCTTCCACGATGGATTCCTTCTAAAATTTTCCGTCGATTGCTTGGCAGATCATTCAAGCAAGGAAGCATCCAGGGACAACAAATCCATTTTCCAGTCTTTTTGATCCTCAGTCACATGAACATCAAAGCTTCGTTTCACTTTCTGCCGTTTCTAGAAAAAGAAATAAGCGCTCTTTTTTCGGAATAAGCACTTTCCCTCGTGGTGCCAAAATTAAATAAGCGCTCTGGGCGCTAAATTGAAATATTACGGTACTAAACTTTTGAAGAATTTGAAACTTAATCTATGCTGGAGTAACTGCCTAACTTGTGACTGTCAACTGACGGAATGTGATTGGTAAATACGCAGTTGATTTGTCAATAGTAATCAGAGAGTTCAAGGTAAAGTTTTTTTTGTCTAGCGATATCGCACGCAATGCTAGTAGTGTTCGTTAATTGTTTAACTAGACCTAAGGAGAACGGTTTTTTTGGCCCTGAGTAAGCAAACGAAACAGCGAGGCGAGAGAGACATACACACCCACGCAGGGAAGACTCTTGAACATCAATTGAAAACTTACACCGTGAAGGAGTTATTAAGCTTGGAAACAAAGAGGTCACAGTTCCAACGGAGCCATGTTAGCTGTCAAAGAGGAGCGGACAGTCATAGGAGGCGTTGAATTGGCGAGGAAAACAGTAGTAGCTGCTACAGAGGAAGGGTGAGTCTCTAATTTCAACAATACTTCACTATTTAGAAAATTGCAAACGATTTCAAACTTGGCATAATCCGTACGTTTGGTAAGAGTAGAACTGTTCCTGTCGATTGACTGTTCTGGTGGAACTCGTTAGATCTTCAAACGAAAACTTCACAATGGCAAGCCCGTGAATATCTTTTCTTGCTTCACACATATTTCATTCGATGACTATTGGTATTTTGTAGATAGTAACCGCCATTGAGGAACACGGAAGTAAATGTCACTAGAAGAGTAAACTCATTCATGAAATTAAATGTGCGACTGTTTGCGTAACTTGTACTCACAGCCAGCGAGAGTTATGACTAATGATAACTAACGCAGAGCAAAATTGCGTTAATGCCTTTCTTAACAATAGTCATTATCAGAAATTTGTGTGACCAAGGCGTCCCCAATACTGAATTCTAGAAGTTATTCCCTTGTTCCGTCTGTCAACACCGGTCAAGCCATTCAGTTTAAATCCCGTAATTCCTTCCCGATTCCTCCCGATGACCTTCTTTAAACGGCGATACTGAGGACCGTCGCAGTTGTAGGCTTAAGGAGGCTCCATGGGGTTTTTGCTCAATGTTGGCGCGCGCGCCAGCGTAATGTTTTTCTAGCAATTTTTATGTTTTCGCTCTTCAAGGTCACTAAAAGCCATCAAAAGGCAATGAGCAAGGTTCAGACTATCGTTCACTGTAGAAAATATTATCAATATGATTTTCGTAATTAAGCTAAGATTCCACGATAGGAGGCGCTCGCCCGTGTTGATTTGGCTTTGCCTTTGATTTTCTTCAATTTGCTCCGGTAAAATCTCTCAAAATTCTCACAATGTGTGAAAATTGTCCTGCCGACTATTTAAAATCCAAAAAAACTAGTGGTTTCCTCACCATTTACCTGATTTTGTGTTTTCTTCCTCTGTCTCAAATTTGGTCTTAAGAATTTTTTAATCAACAGGCACGGTCCAGCAAACCTAAGGAAATTCCGCCGAAGAAAACGCGATAAATCTTACTCGAAAAATGTCTATTTTCTTTGTTGCAAAATATTACGCAATGGAATGGAACTTCGCCAAGAGCATGCGTAAACTTTCGAATCTGTCGCCTTTTAACAATCCATCCCACGATGTTTTCTTTTCGGTTGACCACTTCTTCAAGCGTAGAAGGCCTATTAATATTACGGGTGCAGTTACTGGAAATCTTCGACTGCGTCTCGGGTTTGTATAATTTTCTCAAATTCTCCCAAGCCGTCCCTTCGTGTACAGATGACAGCATGCTAATACAGAAAAAGTTCTCGATTGCTTAAATTCATTTAAATTTTTTTTACTCAATTTATCAATTGAATTGATAGAATAAAGATCTGGAGGATTCAAATCAAATAAATAACTAGCAACAATTTTTAAGTACTTGCATATGACAGGGGGGTTAAAAAGCCATCAATGATTTCCTAACAATGTTGAGATTATTTGCATAATCCATTAGATTTAAGCTATTTACTTTGAAAACTTTTAAAATACTGGACGTTTGTGTTTGATTTTATTAAATTATAGTTTCTTTTTTTCCAGCGTTGTAACCAGGGAATACGTAGAAGCTAGAAACATCAGTTTGCCTGGAAGGTAAGAAAAGAATTGAAAATATCATTGATGAGCAAGTATCATGAAGTTAGGAACTGTGAAGTTCACTAACTTTTCGCATCTATTTTCAACCTCTTTTTTGCAAGTGACGGTTGTGATTTGGGTGGGGGAGGGGGGTTATGATTTATAATTGGTACGATAAGGGCAAACAAAGGGGTTGGTCAAGAAATTGGGGTAATTATTGTCATGAACAGAAGCCAGAATATTTGTGCTATTTTTTTTCCTTTTCTACTAAAGAACTAACGCTAGGATATTTTTTCATCTCCCCTTTAGTGTACCTGCCATTGTGCAGCCGAGGTGAGATCAGAATGTAATTTTTTTTTATTTCCATTTTATTTCGCAGATATTTTGTTTGACTCGATCACAAATTGTATTTTCGTTATACTATAAGTTGTAGATTTGTTGATGCGGTCTACGTTTGACAAATTACAATGCAACAGAAAACTATATCAAATGTAGATTGGAAACATAATAAAGATGATTTTCATTGAGGCGAACCAGAGTTCATATTTGAAGTGAACTCATTATTACGTCACCACCACTGAAGATGTAGGTCAAGATCACAATATACACCGGAACATGGGCAAGATCAAATTAGGAGATCGTCTAAGATTTTTGAAGATCTCTGCCGTTTTCTGAGATCCCAGGAAGATCTGAAAATAACAGACGAGTGCGGGGTATAGTTGTTCTCCATCTAAACATTTAGGGTCAACGATATATTTCTGCCACATTATTCCTTGAGGACGCTATACTTTGAGTCTAAATTAACTTATGGAGATAAACGTTGAAATTCAAGCCCTGTATAGGAAATTCATTCTCTTAGCCTGATCATATCCCAGTATTGAACATCCTCTTTTTCCTAAACAGTAATACTTGTTTTTTTTTGTTCCTCTCTCTCTTCAGTGCGTACCCCGCCTTACCTCCGCCCCCACCACCCCCTCCCCCACCACCAAAAGAGTTCAGTTGGGTGGATTGTTGCTTCAAGTGTGATAGTGGATATGAGTGGTACGAACCAGGTGGAAAGGGTAAGTACGTGGTTATTGTAACAGAAGCAGGCCTAACAACTGACTCCTTCTCCAGAAAAAACCACACGTATAAGTTTGTCAATTACAATACTGTCAAGGCATTCGCTCTCATTAACTCCTGAACCACTCCCCCCCCCCCCCCCTTCACGAGAAACTACGAGTCTACGTTTGTCAGTTTTGGATGAATTATTCTAGTTTTTGTAACAGCGTCCACGAAGGGCTATTTGACACCAGCTCGCACAAGGTTTGGTGATAAAATAATAAAAAACCTCAGCTTAATTGCAATGTTATGTTCTTCCATATCCTCTCTCGTAAAATCTGGTTGAAAATGTGCTTTTCTGTTATTTGGCAGGCTTCTGCATTGTGTTGTTACTTCTCGTGGCTTATTTGATCGGTGGAGCTATCCTACTAGCCTACCTCATGTTACTTTGTCTTTTTGCCTTCTGCGGCGAGGATTAGTGACGACATTAGATGTAGTGGTGAAATACTTGCTTTTACTCTATTTTACGTAGCACTTTATATTTAACAAGTAAAATACTATTAGTAATACTTTTTTGTAAAATTGTGTTGTAGAAATCGTTGTGTCGGTGGTAAATTTTTACTTAATAGTAGCTTTTTATCTGAGCGTTTACTCAAGCTGTAGTTAAACTGGTGGCTTTCAAGTCTTACACTATCAGATGATTTAATAAAGGAAATAGTAAAAAAGTCGAAAGACGTAATCCGCCAACACTGAGTCTATAAGATTTGAGTTTGAGATGTAAACCTGCAGTACTAATCAACACGGGGAGGGGGGAAGGGGTAATCGGATAGGGAGATGGTGAGGGGAGAAGACTTCTAGAATTTCGACTTTTAACCTTTTACTCTCTAATATCAGGATACATATTCTCCATACTGCTCTCTGTACACTTCCCATGGTACTGACAAGAAGAATTTGCTTTTCTATCAGGAGCTTCTTCAGTTGGTCATCATCTCCATTCTTATGATTTTGACTGAAGGACCAGTTATTATTTATAGCCTCAGGAAGGGGGGTTTGGAGACCTTGAGGAGGGTCCGAGGATTTTGATTATGTCACGATGAAATTAACCTGATTCCCTTCCCCCCCTCCGCAAAGGCTCCATGGTATTCTTATGACCCCCCTCATTGGCAGTTAATTGGTAGTCAATTCTCCACAGTCCACCCTTTACACTCTGTTGGTGATGCCTGATACCCCTCTGCTCTCCCCTGGAAACCGTGTGATCGACTAAAAATCCTTCACCTTCCTCCCCACCCAAGGTGATAAATGATGATTGCATTCAGCGGTGATATCGTAAAGAGCAGTTAGAACATGATCGCTCTTAAGGATTTAGGGTTTGAAAAACGGTTGAAGAAGCTATGCTTCGTAGAGATGTTAAGGAGTGTCAGGAGCCCATCACTTAATGAGCTCCTGGGAGTGTAAACTTTGCCCTCAAAGACCAAATATCACCGGCTAATTCAAACTAAGAGAGATTATCGAACTCTTTTCTGATCATTTTCATCCATTATAATAATATTTATTTTACAAAAATAATAATTTACTTCTTAACAAGTTATCTGTAAATTTACTTGATAAGCACTGTGACACTATTACAATGTCTTGATGCTATCACAGAATTAAACAAGTTATGAATTTATTTCGGTAGCCAGAGTTGGCACATTTTGGCTGGAATAACCTGCAAGAAATGCAGCCACCAGTTTGGGAAAAAACTAACTGAATTAGTACCTCCTACGGTCTAAATCTTTGCATCTCGCGTGACTAAGCCGTTATGCGATCGCTTTATGTTAGGTCACGCATTCAAAGCGTGTCACGAGACTTTTAAATAAGGAATTCTTCGTGTAAATCAAAAGTGTCAGTGAATTTCGGTGATTTAGGAACAAGTTTTAAACCTAAAATGGACGATGGAAAAGATACAACAGGTTTGGTGGCTTTTGGTGTAGAACACAGCGTGGAAACGGATTTCAATTCGGTGCCACTGAAAACAGCTGAAAGGTTAGTGTCTGTGCACTCATCATCATGGCGTTGTTTAGACTGATGTTAAATCCGTTTTTCGAGCTCCTTTGCCTTGTGTCTGGAACGTTGATAAATGTTGCCCTTTCCCATGACAATTATCAATAGTTAATTGAAATGCAACCATGGTAGCAGATCTGCCAATGATTGATGGGACGCGTGACTCAGCGACTGTTACTTTACGAGTTCGCACTAGAAAATTAAGTGCATGTCAGTCCAACTCAATGAGTTCTTAGTCGACCGTATCAGAAACAAAGACCAGTTTTTCATGAAGTACTAAATTTTGGCTCCTGCAAATTTGGAAAGAACAGATAAAGTGTTTGGCTTCCAAATGGCATATTATCAACCGATGTCCCGTTCATGTCCTCCAAAATAATGTTAGCTATTTAACATCAAATTCACGCATGCACTGGCTTGAATTGAACTAAAAATTCTGTTCAATTTCGAAGTCTTTGCTGAGCCTGCTAATGTGCTTCTGCTGCCTCTACTACTGACACTTATGTAAGCCTTAGAACGTAATTATGTGAATAAGCGTTGATGATCTTCGATGTGTTGTTGCGTATAGTTGTATGAATTATCATTAACGAACTTGTTATTGTTGTGCTTTTAGTGTTGACGATATTCAAGTGATTACTGCTGAACCAGTGAGGTATGCAGATTGAATATATTACCAACTACAATTGTACATTGTGTTTGCAATAATTTATAAACAGGTCGAGGAGGGAGGGGTGGGGCGTAAGAAGGTGGCGAGAATTGTGCGTCCCAATTTTTCGATTGGAAAGGGTTTCCCATGGTCACATGATGGGAAGAGAAGGGGAGGGAAAGCGTTATCGTTTTATCTTCATAAACACTCCACACAAGCTACCGCTATGCACTTTCTTCAGCAACAGCATATATTTTTTTGATATTTTCAGCACAACAATCTCTGCATCATCGTACCTTAGCCCTGCTGTTGGAGGTGCTTCCCCGTCCAGTGACTGCAGCTGTGAGATGTGCTGTACTAATTGTATGGAGTGTGTTAAATGCTTTTGGGAAAGCCTATGTTGTTGCTTAGAGAAACCAGAAGAATGTAATGAATGTTTGGAGACATTGCGATGTTGTGTTGATATTTTGTTGTGTAACTAATACATGTGAATAATTACTGGAAATATATGAAAATCATATGTGTGCACTGCGGTGAAGAAATTAGATATAAGCGGTCCTCGCAGCTATAAACACTGCTGAACTAGTGATTGAAATGAGACCTGAAAAAAATTCAGGCCCGTACGGGATTTGAACCCATGACCTCTGCAATACCGGTGTTGCGGCTATCTGAAAAGGTATATGTTAAAGCTTGTTCTTCTCAGAGATTTCTTTTCATGGAATTTCCATTCAAACTAAGATCGTAAATAAAGCGTTAACCTTGTTTATATCCGTTAACCTTTGTGATATGCTGAGGATCATACCACTAAAGAGTCAATCTACACTAAGTCACGCTGATTCACGCTACGTCACGCTAGGTGACACTCAGTCTAACTGTCACACACGTACAAGCTCACGCTCGGTGGTCTTCCTCGTCCATGCCCCTGTCTCGCTCTTAATTCATTTAACAGTAAAATATAATGCATCATAAATTCAACGCGTAGATTTAAGACCTAACTATTATTATCATCAAAATTGTTATTATTACTTGCTATACTATGTCCTCAATGGCTTGATTAAACATGTTATTTACTGTATTCCATCTCAATGCTTCAACGACCTGTGCTCTCATAATGTTCTTGGCAAGTCCAGTTTTTATTTTCATATGCGAAAGTTTTCCTTGTTACTTAAAACATTTCATATCAGTTTAGTTTTCTGTTCCACGAAATGTTTACGGACAGTCCGACAGATGATTTAGACAGCGGAAATAACATACCGTTAGATTTTGACCAGGCACTCCTTGAACGAGATAGCCTGGGTAAAGCTTAAGTAAACCCTTGCATCGCTGGAAGATCGAAGTGAGCAACACTGAAACAGAACTGACTTTAAAATGAACAGCAGAGGAGAGGGGATATTAGCCGTTCAAGAAGAACGAGCAAGGATTGGAGGAGTTGAAGTGGCAAGAAAGACGGTGATAGCTGCCACGGATGAAGGGTTAGTGTTAGACATCTGTAGTATGTTTATTCACCACGCTTTGCAGACTTCACGTTCACGATTATAATCAAGCTTCATTTGGATTTAAAAGCTCTTTGTATTCTTCTTTTGTAAACTTTGGGGCCAGATTCTCCAGCTAAGATCCATTTTCTTGTTAATCTCGCCCGAGTCGTAGAAACTAATTTTGAATTGAAAGGAGATCAGCCATGTTTGTGCGGCTGTGTCCAAATTCCCGGAAAAGCGGAAGTACTTCGTCGATTTAGTCTCAGAAATCGTACAGGGTCCCGTAGTCTTTCTTTACGTCAATTTCTCTTGATTAGAAGTTAAATTAACACAATTTGATCACAGCAAAGTCATTCTTTAGGCTTATGGTAGTTCAAGAAAATGTGGTAAAATGTGAGACTGAACTTTGGTTTCCCTCAAGTTCCTTAACAAACCACGACGAGGACGTGGCAAAACAAAAGATCTAATGAGCAGGACAATAGCTCAGCACGCGCCTTTTAAAACTGTGTACATTTCTCAGCCGTCCTCCGCAAACTAACAACGCAAAATCATCAAAATTTGCTTTGTCCGAGAAAAGGAACTCCGACAGTAAATTATTAAAGTTTCCATTTGGGAACTCAACGCCGCTCTCATACGTTATGTTGAGGTTAACTTGCGGCGCCGTAAGAGGTGGTCATCACATCTAGTAATTCGCGAGATTCCAACTAAAATATATATACATTTTCAAATCAACGTCTTCTTGGCGTTGCCGTCCTAAATGCTAAAGGTCTCCAATGTCTCCAGCGGCGCCTGCTTTCCTCTTAGAGCATAACATGTGAATGCAGCGTGGGGTTCGATCAAAACAATAATGTACAATGATATTTTCACATCTCGAAGGCGAAAAATAGTTCAAAGTCCGGCTAAACAGTTGAAGGAATTGTTCAGTCTGGTTTGTTACTTCTTTGCACTGAATTAACCCTCTTCTGCATTGAATTATCTGAAAACTGTATTTATCTTTACCAAACAGAACTGAGTAATTTTTTCATGTATCTTATTATAAATAACTGTAACTCTTATTTAAGTCGTAAAATCAGCATGCAAGTTCTCCAAACTGTTCTCCGTACATCTCCTGTGGTACTTAAGGAGAATTTGTCTAAAATGTCCAAAAGAGTTCTTTTTTAGTTGGTGATCAGTTTCTTTATTCTCCTGACTAAATGTTGGATTCAGGGGTGACATCGTAAGGAGAAATTAGATGCTAGTCACTCTTAACGGGTAACCGGAGGACAAAGTAGAAATGAATACTATTGTTGTCAGGATGAATGAATCAGTGAACAAATGATACACGTGTGAAAGTCTCAAACTACTTTCCATTTGCTGTGCGATATGCCAGTATTGCGACAAGAAAATACCTTCCCAACGAAGGCTGAACAATGGTAGCACCAGAAAAAGATCTATATCATCAACAATAGCAGTATGGTATATTTTTTTGTAAGACATTTACTAGTGGTTCGTTTCTTTTGCTTCTTAGAGTTGTGGCTGTTCAAGTGAATACTGTGGAGCAAGTGGGGTATTTACCAAAAACTACTATTTTATAAAGTTTTCTGTTACTTTAAAGATTACAGATTGAGCCCATTTCCGAGGAAATCAACGCAAAATACGGTCGCAGATGCAAGTGGAAATCTGGTCATTTCCATTATGTTACCGATGCCTTAACCTCCTCTTCTTCAGTTTGGTATAAGATTGACCAACCCTGCCCTCCCCACCCCTGATGCGAGTGTAGACAGAAAATTTGAAAAATCGATTGCCAACAATGTGTTGTTTTCATGAACAAAACAACAAGGGCTGCATTGTAGAATGTGGGCGTTTTAGTGCTCACCCAGACTGAGACTCGTAAAACCAAAACCGAAAAAACCACAACATGTACCTCAGCAGAGGAAATATTTTAGTGAGAACGCAACGTAAAAACAATTAAACTGCCTTGAAGCGCAGTAAAACGCGAGGGATCAAAAAGCGGTTGGTTTTAATGTTGCATGTGATTTGTTGAGGGGTGGTGCAAGTTTTCTGGACCAATCACATGGCGAAGTAAAGCAAAAAAAAAAGCGAAATCTGAGTCATTTCCGACATTTAATTGAAAATTACCTTAAAGGGACTTCGTAATCGTTGTGCCTCTTGCGAGGTCATTCAGATTCTGTTTTAATCAGTTCTCTATCCAATCCATCCTCGCAACTTTTGTTCCACTTTCCCATTTTGTAGTTTCCTCTCTTACCAAACTGATGTATTGCAGTGTCCTCTTTGCTAAAAGTAACGTAGCCTGTAATGTAGCGATTTTCACTTTTGCGACGTAGCTTCTCTATAACCAATGGACAAAGCTAAGAAAGTATCGAAATGTGATCGAACCTTTCCACTGCTGTATTTACAGCGGCCACCGTCCCGCATTACAAGGTGGGCGCCCTATGCTAGCAGGCGGTCCTCGGTATCCAATCCCAAACCCAGCAGTGAGCTACGAAGAGGAGAGAGGCTGTACAGATTACTGTTGCTTGGCATGTGACAGTGAATATAAATGGTACAATTTGAGAGGAAAAGGTGAAAACAATTTATCATAATAATAAATGACCCTATACTTAAAATGTTAGGACCCTTGTTAAACAACGCTACTTTCTGTTATGCTCCTTGCATCTGCTTTCGCAGTCCTGCGAAAAGAAACATTTTTTCTCTCATGTTTTAAAACTTTCAACCTCTAGGGATCCCGAGATATTTTATGAAATAAGCCTTGCTTTGGGTGTAGTCATGGGTGTAGCCAACTGGGAAGGAAGGGTCAGAGGATTTTGGTGGAGTCATAGTAACATCTACCTGCTTCTCCCATAAGGCTCTGTATGTTCCATATTCTCCTCTTTTAGCGACGACTTATTCCCCCTCCGTTTCCCGTAAAAACCACGTGATCCCCACTAAAATACTCCACTACCCCCTCCCCCCCCTCAGGCGATGACCGGTCCCTAAACCCTTGAACTCCCATATCAAATGTGTCATTCTCCTTACTGTCAACCATAAACTTCTTAGAATGTAAGTTCAGAGAATTTAGTATTGGATCAACTAATTACTCCTAAATTGGTATTTTTCGTTATTCTCATCACTTATCTGGTTAACACACAATATTATGGAAAGAAAATAGTTTTATTTTGACCTGCGCATGAGAAAAAAGTGGAGGATATGATCTTCGCAAGTGAGCTGCAAATAACAAAGCCACAAAAAAGATCTGGTTTCGACGAGATTTGAGCCCGGGCCTCCCAGATACTAGTTGGACGCTAACATCAATTGAGCTACGAAGCCACACGGTTGGAAGTGAGACACATACTCATGGTTCTGGTCATGTGACAAATTCCCACTCCGTTGTATGATAAAATTAGATTGGACTCTAAAGTTTCTTGCAGTCATAGTAGATAGGATCTGCTTCTATTCCGCTCTCCTCGTTCTTTGCTTCTTACCCTGAGCTTTCCAACAAGGTGCCCACTCGTGTCCACGCATAAAATAATTTTATTTTTATCTGCGAAAACTAATACCATACACTAAACCCACACCCCCCCACCCTCATTAACCTCCCCCGCCCCACCCTAACTCTCGCCCCAGGCTTCCTTGTCATCACCTGTCCTTTCAAGAATAAATTTCCGAGCAAATCAGATGGAGCTGAAGTATTTGAGTGACGCTGTCAGGCGTCACGCAATCAATTACTTAAAATTATCTGGTCGTTGAGTCTTTCTTTTTTTCCCTTTGTAGGCTGTTTCTGGCTTATTGTCCTTTTGCTTTTTTATTTGGTCGTGGGTACCATACTGCTGCCGTTTTTGATCATCTACTTGTTGTGCCTTTGCATATGTTATCCCCTTGGCTGTTGTAAAGATGATAACGACGTAGACAGACCCATTTTTAGATCATAAAGTGGAACAATTGGTCTTCACTTGACTGGGAAGCATTATGAACCATAAGCTAATGTCTGTGTTTTTGTAGTGTTTGTTCTTATTGGATAAATACCTTAGCTATTACAAAATCTTTATTCTATTGGTTACCACACCCTTATCCGCAGTCACGTGATTATCCATGTATCTATCATAGTATATTAATTACGTTCATCGTTATTCTATTAAAGCAGTTGTGTAAAGCACTTGGTCTGTGCACGCGTTACTCTATAGTAGTATATAACGAACCCTAATACACAACAGATTTATTTGGCCGCAGCATGAAAAGTCAAACACTTTCTAAATCTCAGTGGGTTTGATCAGGGACCACACTCACCGAGAAAAGTGACCTAGCAAAGAGAAGATATTCCTGATAGTTTTGGCCCTGTTGACGAAAAATTTATGCCAACCAGGTCATTGGTGACCTCACCTCCTTTAAGATTTTACATTAGCATTTGGTTCAGTGATCTCAGTTGACTTTGTTTAGAACAATGTCAAAAATATGTCTCTTAAAGTGTTTTCATAGAGATAGCTGGGCTGAAAACTTGGGAGTAATGATCATTGTAATTTGCTTTTACTTTGAATTCACGAAAACATTGCACTATGACACCCCAGATTATAATTAATTTTCGTTGACGTTGAGTTGTAGTTGATCAGAATATTCATTGACTATTCATTTGAAATAATGTACAAGTACTGTAGTAATGAAAATTAAATAATAAAATTAAATAAAAACTTAAAATTGAAAACGCAATTTTCATCGATATCATAGAGCACACTGAAGAACCAAAGTAGTCGCAACAGCCAATCAAAGCAAAGGAGATTTTACATGGAGCCAATAAGAACTCAACTACAATCAAGGAAACCACTCTTTACGCGGGAAAACGTGAGCGACAAAGTTGTGGTTGTGTTGTTGAATCTGATTGGTTGAGAAAGTGGAACGGGTTTCCTGGACCAATCACATAGCGAGGCAAAGCAAAAATAAAGCAATCCCGAATTACCTTTAACACTTACTTGAAAACTGCTCTAATTGTTTAACATAATCTCAAGTTGAGATCCAAAATTTTTTTGAAAATTTTTAAGTGATCTGACTATTTTTTTTTCATTCTATTCGACTCCTACAAGGCGCTAAGATGGAAACTTAATGTGGTGGAATTGATTTCCATAAGGGAACTTTTTTTCTTCAATCCAAAGTCATTGACAATGTTTAAGGGTTCACTAACATTTATGAGTGTGAATTGTTTAAATTTAAGGGAGTCCAAAATGGAAGAATTTCATGGGCATGGGCTAAACGAAAAACCCGATTTCCAGAGATAACACCAGAATTTGACCGTTTTTTGCTGAAAAAAGGACATTTAATGCAGTGATTCCTTTCCTCTGAAACCTTTACGACGAATTTTCCGGTTACCCAGTTTATATTAGTGATTGATTTGCCAAGTATTGGATAACCGAAGCATTTATCATATATTGTTGGAAACTGTACGATACGTTAATTATTCTTAATTTGATTGACATATATAAATGATTTCGTTTATCTTTACATAACCAAACGAACATATATGCGGCACGTGTTTTATCGCCCTATATAAGGCACTGTTCCACGTGCTTGCAACGGGACATTTAGTGTGTGTTCTTTTCGAATAAGCCGAGAGTTGTGAGTAGGAGTTAACCGAAGCGTTGAAGTAGAATCGTTAAATCAAGTGAATCAACCGTGATATACAAAGGAAGCATGGTACAGCTTGTTCACGTTTTCGACAATATATTGTATATTTCTAATCCGTTTCTGCTATTTTAATTGGCATGCACCATCTGGCTTTGACTACTGCCAGATATAGTTTTTATATTTACGTGAGTTCCTGCGGCTGATTGTTTCAACCCTTGATCACATTCTCTTGGCAATGGAAGTGTTTAATCTCAAGTAAAGTCAAACTCTTGATCAGTTCGTTATAAGAGAAATGACAATTGTAAACTTTAATAAAATTATGTAGACTAACAATTATAAGACATCCCTCAACAAAGAAAACTGATGGGAGTAGAGGATAATGACGGGGGGCTACACGATCCACACCCCTTCTCAACAAATTATCGTAGCCAATCATTAAATGTCCAAATTGTATTTGACGTTCCTGATCTCTTGTTATGTATTTGACCGATCTCAGGCCATACTCCTAGACAATTGTCCGTAAAGATCTGCCTTTCTGATCATGAATGCAATATTATCGCCCCTCACTTTTTGATATTTTTCGTGACGATTCTCAATGCTCCTCCGTATTGTCTGCGTCCACGGTTTTCAACCGAGTTTATCCTGGAAGGACAGTAAGTCAAATTCCTTAATTGTACGTGATGATAACAAGTTTCCGAAAATCTCCGTACTCATGCGGCATGCGAATTTTGTAATCGCCTTTGCAAGGATAACGGACTCATGATATAATGGAGAGCAGTTAAATGGTTCAGTAATCGACAACCAAATTGTGAGCGGAATCTGTTTGTAAACCGACTTTTCTCTGACGGTACTTCAATAGTGCGTCATCACCTCGGAATCGAGAGAATCCTCGCTTTCAAAATGAGGCTAAACTGAGGTCTGGACTATCCTCAATACACATGGACAACTAAACCCAGGACCCCCAAACCGCGCCAAGACATGACCCGTCACCATCATCGTCAAAAGAGACGCCAACTTTCTTGGTAGAAAGAGCGAGGTATGACAAAATACCGGCACTGAAGAAAACTGTCGCAACTACAGCCGCGATGATCAGGAAAGGAAGAATAGTTAAACTTGCTACTAGGTACACGATGGCCATAAAGAACGTCAAGAAAGCACCTGCATGAGGAAAAAAAAAATCAGTTGCTAACAAAAACACACATTAACCTATTGTAGCACTGAGCTGGCAGTACGGCTTATCTTCCAAATGTATTTCCCAACTCCTCGCACCGATAGAACCAAAGGCAGGGTCCACAAACTCTCAATTGACAAAAATGAGAACGAAAGCAGATTGAAAAACGTTTTCAGGCTTTGCAGCTGAATTACTGTCCCATTTTCTCGCGCTAAAAGCTTTAGATTCTTAATCTTTTCGCCTGAAAGTAAAATGTGTACAATAACCATGAAGACGGAGAAATTGCTTCAAAACAAAATTCCATAAATATGATAGGAGAACACATGAGTCGGCGAATTCACCCTTCACACTCCAATGTCATTATGCATGTTCTCCCTACTGTTCTTTATACATTTCCTAAGATGCTGACAAGGAGAATTTGTTTAATGATCAAAAGTTTCTTTTGTTGGTGATCATTTCCTTCATTCTCATGACCTTAATGTGTGATTCAGGAGTGATATTGTAAGGAGAAATTAGATGCTAATCACTCTCAGGGGTCAAAGGGTTAAAGATGCAAATACATTCGCAACGAGGGAGAGCAGGAAAACGCCTTAAAAAAGAGATAGAAATTGAATCACCCCTTTCCTTTCTCGTCATGACACAGAAACAATCAGACTTGTGAGAAATGAACCTTTAACACTCTGTCTTTGGTATTTATATTCTTTACAGTCACAATGCTCTCTTTACACTTCCTCCGATATACTGCCGAGGAGAATTTGATTTGACGATCAGGAACTTCCTTAACTGATGATCACTTCCTGTTTTCTCATTACAGGGTCTTGACCCTTATATTTGATTCAAGGGTGATGCTGTAAGGAGAGATTAGAACGCACTCTTCGTGGTTAAAAAATAAAACACGCTCACCTTTGCCCAGAAGGCTGTACCACTGGTGCTCTTTGCTGACACCACAACAGAACACAAAAACTACCAACCAACATGGTGCTCGCTTTCTTTCCTTTGCTTTCGCTTTTTCTTGTTTGCTCCATACGTTCACCTTATCTGTGCTTTTGGGAAATTTCGCTTTGGGTTTCGAGAACTTTCGTTTTGGGTCTGGCGTTACTTCTCCGACTCTACTGCTTCTTTCGGAGTCTTTGAACTTTGTGTCTGTTTTAAACTTTGGTTTGACTCTCGGAGAGGATTCTTCTGTGGTTCTGATTAGAAGTAACAAAAACATTCTTTTTAAGTGGTGTATACCTTTCGAAGTGGCGTTGATGTGACCTCAACCTTTTATGGTGGGCCTGGGTTTGCATAGCTTTTAGTTTTCGATAGAATTTGTTTTTACAATCCTTTGACGATTTAAGAGAGACGAGATAATCTCATCTCTAATTGAATTATTCTAAATCCAGAGATGCATAAGGCGATGCATATGCCAAACTTTTTAAAGCGCTGTTGATTGTAATAGGTAAAGACCTTCTCAAAATTCTTTCAGCTTTGCAGGAAGGCTCTTAAACTAAGATGGCTTTGAAACTAAAGGCCGGCTGAGAAAACAGAGACTAAGAAAAAAATAAGCAAACCAAACAAAAACAAACAAATGGCGTTATGGTTGAAAATTGTGAGATAGATTTTCACTTACTCTCCAGCCTCAATACATATTTCAGTGTAAGACTTGATTGTAATTAGACGTGGCTGTTTGCTGAAAACAAAATACACCACATAAAAATTTAGAAAGTTTCAAGGTAACTAACTATTTTCAGTCAAGGCCAGACACAAGTTGAGTGACTGAGACTGTTCATCCAGTTGTCTACACCGGACCAGTGCTTTAAACGAATCGGTTTGCAATATGCGAAAAACAAAACATCTCCTATGTTGTCCACTTCTTACTTCTGGGATTTAGAAGAGTTACTTGTTAAAAATTTACTCCTTACAAACCTTTCCTACACTAGATGTTGAATCAGATTGTAAGGAGAAAGAAAAGACAATAAATTCTTTATGATTAGAGAATGAGAGACTCGAAAAAAAGATGTTTCGGTTGAGTAACACCAAATAGGTAATGGCTTTTATGGCTAACTGTTAAAATTGTGGCCAATTCACGGCTTACGGTTAATATCTTCTACATGTGGTCACCAGAAAATTTTAACTGTTAATTTTTTAAACAACTAACTGTGTAAATTCCTCAATTTTTACGCCTAAGAGCTAATTTTTGGCCGTTTACGGCTAACGGTTGAGATCCACCGCCAATTGTTTTGGAACAGTGAAATTTCACTTCTAACGCTAAAGGAGTGCCTCCCTTGAGAGCATCTATGAAGAGTTTACGCTAATTAGCTGCATTCATTTTAGCCTTGTTTACAATAAAGCTAATCACATCATACGCTTCTGTTCATTTACTCGATACCTTTCCGTTTTAGTACCTGATATTCTTTCTTAATCTTTTAAGTCTCTTATCACTTCACAAAATCTCACTGATCCGACCAGAAATGTAGATAGAGCGTTTTATTCTGTTATTGTAGCTGTAGCGATGGGTGCAGAGTATTTTTAGGCTAAAGTACACGCAGCCACTAATATGTACTACGTGCTCTTCTTGAAGATCACTGAAATAACTTTTGACCGTGTTTCTACACCTTTCATCAGTAACGAAATAAAAATCTGCTTTCGAAGTGGACACCGCTGTTTCCCCTTTAACCCTCTAAAAATTCCTCAGTATTACTCGGTCAGATTAGTAAAGAATCGTCTAAAAGCATGAGGTGTTTCTACAACTTTAATCAGCAACGAAACAAAAATATGCTTTCGAGGCGGACGCCAGAGTTTCCCTTTAACCCTATTAAAGTTCCACAGTATTACTCGGTCAGATTAGTAAAGAATCGTCTAGTAGCATGAGACTCTACTTACACATCCAACCCAGAGTCGTTTGGCGATTCCACATCTGTTCGATTATTGTTACTGTCTTTGCTGTATAGGCTGTCGTAGTCCAGGTCTTGTGATGTGTCTTCTAGGTCTATGATCTCGGTCATCGTGAACTCCGCTATAGCAGAAAAGATCCTGGCTTGATTCCACCGGAAGTACGCTCGTCTAGCTCGTCAAGAAATCTTTTTAGCAATTGGGGAAAGCTAAGCACCAAAAATAGTCATGTCATTAATCTGCTTTCAGAGACAGTCACACACGTGGAGTCCTTCTCAGTAAAACCTCTTTCCGAACAATTGAATGAACAAGAAGTGAATCACTTTGGCGCAAATTCATATAGCACTACATGACAGAGAAATGTCTGTTCCAAAAAAGACCTAATTCTACAAACATTTTTCAAACATCATCGCTGTATTTTTACGATGGAGGTGTGAACGCACAAACGGCCTCTGCATGTTTTGACAGTCTTGAAGAACAATTTACCCTCCAGACAATATCGCACAATTGTTAGGGAAATGAAGACAAGAAAGTTCTCAGTCAAGCATTGACTTCTCATCAATACTTAAATTGTTTCAGCGTTGTAATCATTTTAATTGAACGTAGTTTGAAGGATTCACCTTTCAGGCTCCGCACTGAAAAGGTCAATTAATTTAATTTCTCTTGAGGGACTTTTCATGCGCTCTAGATTTTAATGATTTTGAAGGAACATTTTGTAATCATAATTCTTAAATGCCTTCTCAGTTCACGTTTGAAATTTGGAGGGAAATCTTTAGGCTGCGGCATGATTCACAATCAGTTCCAATTAAAACATAACCTCTCACAGCTTTTTGCACTACGATAATAAGCTGTGAGTAAAGGGAAATGTTAACATCAAGTTTTCAGATCGCAGGAATGAAAAACTTTAAGTCCTCCTGTAGAATTTGAACTTCAAACGGGTTACGCCTTTTTAGCACCCTGAACTAGCTTGCAGTAAGTTCTTTGGCAACTTAGATCGTACGTATATCACATGTATACAAATACTAACGTCTGCAAGAAGAGCTCTAGGGAAAGAGAGCGAATTTAATGTCAAGATGTTACCATGGACTGCTTAATGCGACGACAAAATACACAACATGAACAACATCAAGGTACTTCTGATATAAAATATTTAATTAGGCTTTAGGCGAATTTTTTTGGCGCTTATTAGCTCACCAAGAGCTACCTTGAATATGCCATTTCCGACCGGTGGGAATTATAGAAACCATTACAAGTTGCACGTCAAGACGTAATAACTAATAGTTAGTATATAGTTGATAAAGCTTGAGCTCCCTTGTGATGACGTTACGTTCGCTATCGCAAAGTTTTAAAAAATTTTACTTGTACGCGAACAGAATTTGTAACGATTGTGACACCCAAAGCTTTTAACAACAGTTGCCTTGACTAAGCAAACAGTTTTTCATTTCCGTAATAGTCTGATCGTATTTCTTTCTGTTATTTCAATACCTTTTCAACCTCGACTCGGCGTATCCGCAATCCTGGTGTCGACTAGGCCTGTTTGATCTTTCTGCGTTAAACATGGGTTGGTGCTTAAAGATACCGTTTGTTTCCTCTCAATGGCCGTGCCAGGTACGGCAGATATTTTTCACAAGAATGATATAATTAAATCCTGGTGTGACCTTTGTGATAAATTGAACAGTTAAGCGCTCTAAGATTTAACAAATTCATGCGTCGTAATTGGTTGTGAAAGCAAATGTACGGAAGTTCCACTTAAATATATCATAAAATTGTCAGATACAAAAAATTCTTTGTTGAATAGGATTGTCTGACCTGATTTTAAAGCATCATAAATATGTCTTAAAGCAGTAGAGGTGTCTGTTTTACCACATTATGTCAACGAACGTAAACTTTCTTTATTTAATTTCTTTTTAAAAAGAATAGAGACGTTAAAATCCACCAAAAGGGTTTATAATTATCTCTCGACTCTCTAGTCCTGAGTGTCTTCCACAATAAGTCGCCGTCAAGCGGTAATGCGACGAATTCCTATTGAATGGCTCTTACGAGACTGATCATGGGGTTAATTATTGTTTGAATATGGTAAAACAACAATACAAACAAACCGAGACGTGTGGATTTTGAGCAATAAAAAACAATTTGACGAAGGGTGCAACTTGATCCCATGAAAAGCTGACAGTAAGATTGAAATAAGTCAAACTTTAGCTTCCCTGTGACATTTCTTCTGGGCTTCATAATTTTGTTTCTTTCCATAAAATGAGAAAAGGTAGCAGCTGACATTTTGACATAGACGCAAATTTGAAGCGCATAATTGACGTGATGAAATATTGCCGATGGAAAGGTGTCGAGGAAGGTAACGCACTCCTTGCAGACAATTTCACTTGTCTGTTAATGGTTCAGAGTTGGAGCCTTAACAGCCTAAGAGTTCATAAAGCTTTGATGAGAGAGAGAAAATTTGCGATTCTTTGGTGCCAAGTCTGAGCACCAAGAAGCGTAACTCCCTAGGAGATTGGCTTGAAGTTTATCCTTTGTCCGCAACCCTTAAAAATATTTCGGTGATTGAACTATGCAATAAATTTTTATATGCAGCTGCATCTGTCAGAAAAAATTTTAAATGAGATTTGGCATTTTATCAATTCTTCTCTGATTATGTTGTGGAGAGAGGCCAATTCTTTTAGCGACAAAATTTTGTTAACTAGTTATTGATATAAGCCGCAGTTCAGCGGGTGAGTTATCCTAGAAGGATGGGTATTTGTGAGTTCATTAAATGGAAATTTAAGTGTCCCACTTTCGAACTTATGTTGCGTCTGGCTCTAAATGGTGCAACTACTGGCTCAATAAGTTGTGGTAACAAAGTATTAAGAAGTTTTTAAAGAAGTGAAATGCATAATACGACTTAGTCAAACCATTAAAACTTACCTTTGTTTTTCTTGTAATCGAGATCAGTTAGTCCGTTTAGTTTAGATGTGCGCTTCTTTGGCCAAAATTGCTAGGGTCGAGAAAAAAACATGAGACTCTACAAAACTTTAAACTTTAACAGAGCCAGTTCGTGGCATCTTAGTTGTCGAACAGTGCAAAGACGTGCAATATGTCGGAGAAAGTATTCCAAACTCGCTAATCTGCCAAGTTGTACAAATGCTTCCTAGTACAGCTTATTAGCCTTTAGATTACGGATACCATTTGTATGCAAATTTGTCACAGATTTTGACTGGTCTATTGATATTTGAGTAAACGTCTCAATGTTGCGTCATATATCTCTTAGAGACTTCTTTTCTGTTGACATGTATGTCGCGAAAACGTCAATTACTTTTTCTCTTCACCGAATCTTCTTTGTCTATCGACGACACAGGAAGCGGGTCCCTACTTTCACAATCGACGTCCATGTTTACAACCAGTTGAGAAGATACTGTCCATTTGTCTTCTGCAAATTTGCAAGAGTGGTTACCAAAATATTTTGTAGCACTTAAGATTACCGAAGATGCAAAAGCTGAATCTCGATCACAAGGCAAAATTGTGTGTTTTGGCACATTTATGGCCTGGCTTACCATGGAATGCTGAGTGGTTTTGAAGTTAGAGCATCTTGCCGTGATATTGGAAGGTCAGCGGTCTGACGTGATCCTTACGGGGGCCTCAAATCTTTTTCTTTATCCTGCTCGCTCGTATCAGGGCTTACCAGTTTTCTTTAAAAAAACTGGTTGAGAGGAATCTTAGTTCCTCAGTTAATTAAAGTGTGTGCAGTTTCCCACGTAATATTAAATCTGTTGACATAAAAATGACTTTTCTTGGCTGGGAATGACGTATTGGTATTTGAAACTTCAGTAAATAAATAAATGAATGAATAGGTTAATAATAGGATGAAATAACTATACTCTAACAGTCCTTACAGGTTACAACTAAAATGGCAGTCTTAGGCAAGTGCAAGTGAAAATGTTTTGTCTGCTTAAAGAAAAGTAGACCACCTTTCTTATAAAAAAGGGTTTGCAAGGAATTACCACGTAAAAACGATGAGTCATTAGAAGCTGACGTCTCTGGCATTTTTAAAATTTCCTTCTACGTTGACCTTTTGAGTGATATGACGTCATTCAGAGTGCCGATTGCTGTATAAAAATAGTCTTTTGTCTATGGTTGACAGCTGAAAGAGTTGACTGTTGGTTACAATTTCATGCCAGTTTATAGGCTATTTTCTGATTGTACATAGCTCTCGACCAATGATCCTTGAAAAATTGGTGGTACGCTCTGTTTGGTTAAAAGACCCCTTATCGGTTTCTCGTGAGTTCCAGATAACAGTTTCTTCCCACTTTTGCCCGTTCTTATTTACTACATCACAACATTTAATCTTCTCATGTTCTCATAAACACTCGAAACATTACATCACTTGCTGAGGCATGCGAAACAGAACCTTTGTGCAAACTCTAAAAATTTTCTTCCCTGAGTCGCAGGTATGGTTGTTTCGGGTCAGGAGAAAGTCAGGGGAAAAATTATTCAAGATCAGAGAAAAGTAAGGGAGTATCACCTTTACGGTCTGTTTCCTTACTCGGAACTGGTTAGCTCAAATGACCACCACAAACCACTTAATATCAAGCCAAGCTTTAACAACTATTCGATCTAAAAGAAATAAATGTATAATTCGCAATCAGAACAAACGCAAATCAATTCTTTATCTCGTTTTTAAATTCAAAAACTTCAATGTAAACTTACTTCTGTGACGGGTCACGTTACAATAGTCTCACTTTACAGGTTAGCAGATTCTTCAGGTAAGCGGATTTAGAGACAGAAAAATAAAAGAAAATAGCTTCTTTCTCGCCTCGATTCTGCTGAAAAACTGATTTGAAATATAATAATCTAACGCTTTTAAATCAAAGTATAGAACTAATGCCAATCACGATTCTTGTCATCGAATAAATCTATCCATAAGAGGCAACGCGTACTTGATAAACTAGACACGGACGGGGAAATTTACATCTTTGAAAGAATTCGAGGTCAAAAAGAGTGAAGAGTCATTCTTCTTGTCTTAGCCCTTTTCATGATGAAAGATCGTAAGACCTTTCTTTTTGTGTTCTCAATGTAACTCTTGTTATTGCCGTGGCAGTTGTGGACCATACGAAAAAAAGATGGTTCCGCGCGTAGCATTCTGGGAAAATGTACCACTTTAATGTAAACACATAGTTTCGCAATACCAGGAAGGTGTTAGGTGAGGCTTGTAAAAAATGCCTTTTAAATGCGTTTTTGGTGGTCAGTTGAGTCCATAAGACCCTTACGTTTCACCAGTTTCCAAAGGACGATGTGAACGCCAGAAGAAGATCGACCGTTCATCAAAGTAATAAACATCCTTGCAGTAAGTCAAACAAGAAATTCTATATGAAAGGGGGGAGGGGTGGGGACAGGTGGCTTGCTGACAAAGGGTTTTTAGTTCAACACATCCTGGATAATCGGGGTTGGGGGGATCAGATTAGAAACACCAAGTTGGAGGGCAAGAAACAGTTTTCTGAGGAAGAAGATATTCACAATAGGAGAACCTCACAAGCGAGAGGTCATATATAGAGAGAGAAATTAGACGGGTTAAGGTGTTCAGAATCTTGCGAGAGAATACCCCTCTACGCTACTCACAACTGAAATCCTGTCACGGAAAACGAAAAACGAAAAATGTGTTCACAGGAGGGTAAAAAGCAGTGCAATTAGAAGGGGGTAAGAAAGCAGATATTATCGCAGGAAAAAATCCATCAGTCGTGAACCAAAAAAGGAGATCAATAGTCGTAACACAAGAAGTGCATTTTGAGGAGGGGTTCAAAAGCAGTGCATTTTGAAGGAGGTGTAAAAGCAAAATGTATTGTGGCGTGCTATCATGGTAAAAATCCAACAGTCGTGAATCACAAAAGTGAACATGTGTCGAAATACGAGCAGTTTTTTTTTGAACGCTATAGAAGACTAGCGACATGATCTCACAGCGTTTTTCCATTGCGTGACATTCTCAAGGAGAAACAGGAAATCAATTACGTAACACAACAGGAACTTCCCCGAGGAAATGGTCATCAATTGCCATTGTTTTCAAATCACATGATTGTCGTATGACAGGATGTTGTCAATAAGACGAAATTTTGTACTAGATAATTCAGCTTGACTTTAAAATGACTGGCAGTGAAACTGGTATATCTGATTTGTGCGATGAAGAGACATGTGACACTGGTTTTGAAAAAGATGTTGACGTGGAAATCATTGATGGGTTTTATTATCAAAACGTACCCATTATGAACGACAAGGTCCGGTTATTTGCTGACTATTGGATGAAGTTGTATTCAAATTGTTGTTTACAACGAGATCATGCGGTTCAATTACTAAATGACGACAAAGTTGAGGAAGCTAAAGCTACTCTTGAAGATTGGCCAGATTCATTTGGGTCACCTGATTTACCACAGTTATTGTTGGAGACTCTTAATGAACCAAAACGAAAGAAGCGATCGCCACTTACAATTGAGAGTGATGCTGTTTCACTTATCCACCAAATGAAAGAGAATTACATCAGAGGAAAAAGATTGCACTTTGATGTTCCAAATCTAGTTCCAGAAGGTGAAGTTTCGTTAGTCGAGTATGAGAACTACATCAAACATTGCGATGAGTGCTTTAAGACTGTTGAAAACTATGTTATTCAGAATGCATTCGTGTATGGAATGTGGCTCAGTCGAGCGTTTGAAAAGTTTCAAGAAGAAAAGAGTATGAAGCGAGTTTCTGGTAACTTCGATGATTGGGTTGATTCGAGATGCAGAGTTAAGAAAACAAGAGCTCGGCAACTTAGAATGTTTTACAAGCTTTTTAGTCCTTATAAAAAGGTGTTAAGGTGTAAGTTACCATTTATATGGTTTGTAAGGAATGGTAAAACCGTGGTTGATTATTTTAAAAGTCATCACGAGGCAGCACTACCATGGACCCATGAACTAGACTGTGCCTGTGAAACTTGCAAGATGTAAGCTGACACAGCTGTGGCGTGACGTTACATGGTAGCGACATAAAAATAAAATCTAGTGTAATATTGTCTAATTTTTATGCAATAAAAATAACATGCAGATATCAACGAACGATAAAATGCGATTTTGGAGAATTTTGCCAAGGGTTAGATTGAGAGTGTGTTACATCAGATCAACAATAATCGAAAGAGAAAGATCAATATCAAGTTTATTTTTAAACGAATATTCAAAATTATGAAATTACAATTAAAAAAATATACCAATATCCAAATCAAAAAGAACATTAGCATGTTATAAGCAATACTGGAGTAGAATTCAAACAATAATCGGTGATGATATCAAAACAAATACTCGGTGATGAATTTATGTGAATACTTCTTATTTGTTAACTAAAGGAAACATATCGATAACGATATAATCAAGAACCCTTAGCTGAGTCAAATAATCTTGGTCGTCGTATGATTTGCTTCTCATAGAGCATCGCAAATCAAGCATTTCTTTTTCATATGATATGTAAGCAAAACGATATGGCTCGATTTTTTCTTATAATTTTTTAATGTCACAATAAGTCTTAAGCAATACACCTGCACCGGATTTAGTCCCTAATACAATTGGGTTGACTGTCACACCACCTGCTATTGTACCTGATACAACAAGATGATAAATTACATGATAAATTCAATTGAATTGTTTGAAATGTTTGCATGCTCTCTAGTATAGCCAAATTTCTTTTCTGATAAAATAGGTGTAAAGATTTGATTTCATCCATCTGATTTTTTCAATACTTTTGTCTATAAAATTAAAATAAAAAATTGTTTTAGTTCCTTTCATATATATATATATGTATATATATATATATATATGTATGTATATGTTTCGATTATTTTAATCAATCAGTTGAAAATTATATTTTTAAAGTTTCATAAAAGTGATGAATAAGTTCCGTCCAGCAAACCGGTGCTAAAATCTAGTGTTATGGATGCTCCTTTCGGTAAACTATAACGTGAGACGTAGATATATCAATCCAACGACTCCGTGTATCTTCAAAATTAAAAATTCTAGAACAGTTTGTAATATTTTTATTTGTTACCTTGAGATAGTTGCAAATGCCTTGAAGCTGTCTATGAAAAAAACCTGATTAAAAACCTGTTTCTTAAATAATCAATTCACCTCCATTTTGAAAACCAAAATGTGATGCATCCGACGTTACTGTATTTATTTGAGATAAGTATCTAAGTTTATCGGTTTTTTCGTCATTATTCTCAAGACTGTTATTGTAATAGTATTTGTTTTTCTATTTATACTGGCGTCATGTGTCGTTCTAGACACAGGATTTTGATTGTTGACAGGATCAACTATCTTCATTGTAACCTTCTCATTGAAATTGATGCCACCATTGTAAACCGTGTAATCGGACAGTTGAAGCAGGCAATCATACTAAGTTCTTTCAGCCACCACCAATCATAGAATTGATCCACCAATCATAGAATTGATCATAATAACCATAGCAACAACCACTTAGTCGGAAAAAAAAACTGTGGAATTTCTAAAATTGAGGAATTTTCCACTTTAGATAGTGTCTCTACTGCACGTTTTTGTTCTAAATGTACTTTTTGTTTTCAGAAATTTTAACGGTTATGATTAATTGGTTACAGGACTTTTTGTCGTCCAATTCTGTCTGTAATCATATTCGTGATTGACAAATCAGACTCCCGGCCGCCTCGCGGTCGTCCGATTTTGATAATCACTCGTATGATTACAGACCTTATCAATAAAGGGCAAAATTACTGAGCGCTGATTGGTTGAGAGAGAGGGCATTTTTTTCTTAATCGAGGGCATTTTTAGTAATCAAGAGAGGGCATGATTACCTGTTAATGATTGGCTAATCCGTTGCATAGCGTGATTTTCCTTCGCATAAATCTTGCCCTTTATTGATAAACAAGTAATCCCATGAGACCTCTATTACCATCGTCGCGTCGCGACTCGGGCAATTTTTGAAAATTTTGAAAACTCTCGTGCAATTAATCCTTAATAGTACTTGGCCTCATGTGATTACCTATACAAATCGGACTCGACTCGGTCCTATTACCATCATTTATAATATGCATGTAAAAATTTCAGGATATTCATTTGTTGAGAACACGTCAATTTATCTCAAATTGGGTAGAAAAAAAATTACGCCAGTTCTGCAGGCGAATTGAACGATGACTCGTCATAGCATCCAGTATTGAAAATGGACAGCGGACGCTCTGTTGACGGAAAACGACGGAAAACTGGATCCAAAATTTATAATGCTGCATCTGCAAACATGTTGTACAGTAATACTTCGCGAAAATCTACCAAAACAATATGGCGGAAGAAGTAGAGAGCGATGTTATTACAGAAAATACTACTGAAATGGAAGAAAAGATCGAATATCCCCTGGATGTGAAGTACTGTGGAGGTAATTTATATTTATTTTCAGTGTTTTGCAGTCGAGAGAACTAAGTTTTTATCGAAGGGATGTTTGAAAGAGTTTTTCTGTTCTTCAATTTCATCTTCGCCCCCCTGAAATCAAACTTGTCGTTCGATTGCCATGTGACAACCCGCTACAGTGTGCAGTTTACCTTTGGAGGTAAGTTCTCTTTCTCGAGTTCTAAATGGTTTTGTTTTATATTTCATTTTTGTTCTCCTTGACAGGTTTCAATTTACGTACAGTTATAGGCTTTGCATGGGGAAAAGGAGTGGGGGGTAGGATAATTTTTGTTCATAACTAACCCAGGGAGGGGTACCGCAGGGAAGTGCCGGAATTCCTGTTTTTTTTTTTTTTTTACTCATTACTTGTGATATTTGCCTAAAAACGTGGGTACATGTCAGTACTTTTGAAAATGTAGCAATAACTAGGAAATACATTGAAAATGTTGTGATAGCTTCAAAAATGAAAGATCTTTGCGTGTTTTCCCCTACACTGTTCTCATTATTTCCTTTTTTCACCTTCAACTCCTCCCCTGCAATAGAAAAGTTTATCAAAAGGGACACCTCAAACTTACTGTTACAAGGAAATGTTTTCATTGAAATCTACTGTCTTTCAAGGAGTTTAACCCTTTAACTACTAAGATGTGATTGGTTATTCTCCCCATCAGTTGCTACTAATTTCCTCATAAATTAGTTACAAGAATTTGGTGTCGGATCGAGATAACAACTTCTGCCTGATAAGTTTGAGTATTCTTATTTTATGTTTGCTGGATAATGTATGGGTATTACAGGGAGAAGTCATATTTTAATCACTCCTGGAATTTGTGAAAGGGTTGAAGCAAATGTATTCTCTATAATCAAACATGCAGCTGTTTATATTTTACTTCTCCTCTGGTTATGGCGGATTCTGCATGAAGATTACTCTTGAAAGATTATTTTCTACAATAATGTCAAGATAGCCTAGTGACATGTTTGTTTTACTCCTTAGTACTGTGAATACACTGCAGAGTATGAGAAATGCAAGGAGTGGTTAAAAGCAAATATTCCTGATGCTTATGAGGCACTTATTGGTCAGGGTAAGTATTTGAGTGATTCATTTGAGTGAAATGTGCCAATTGATTTAAAGTTGTAACTTAGGTTATCCACAGATCAATTGAATATAATTAAGATTGATAAAATGAGAGATAACATGGAAGGGTGCAGGTTACCAGACCTTAAGGCAGGTTACCTCACCGTACTGGGGTTGCCCCACCTCCATGTAAACAGGCCCTCCAGTAAGAAGTTGGGGCTAGAGGTTGGGTTTTGTAAACAACACCAACTCTCACTGTACCCATTAGGTATAAACTCAGAAGTTGGTCAGTAATGATGGAATGAAAAGTGTACTGTGTCTTATGATGTTTTGGCAAACTAGACTCCTAGCTTTCCTGATGTTTTAGGTTGTTTGTTTGTTTGAAAGGTTATGCCAAGATCTCTGTTCTTGTTAATGATAGACACAAAATTGTTCATCTAAGATAATCATGCTGAATTGTCAGTGATGTTTTAGTTGCAGACCAATTGGGTGATGTGGAAGTAAGTGAAGGAGCAGCCAAAAAAAAGCAGACTAGAGGTGTGTAAATATCACCAGGGCTGTGTTCTTACAGCACCTGGTGGTTCCTGGTGCCTTACTTTTGCTCTTGGACAACTAGGGCATCTTAGTTTTTTCATTAAAAGCATGTGCTGGGCACACTGGATTTCATAATTTCAGAGCACTGGGCTCCCTCCACTTTTTGTTAAAGCACAGCCTTGATCATGTATAAGATATCTATCATCTGACCTGTATGGCTCCATCTGCACTTTCATTGAAAGCCTTTCTTCAAGTACTTTAGATTAGATGTAAGAAATCTTTAAAGCACTTCACAGCAAAGGATTCTAAGCTCGTTTTTCTCTTTTACTTTTATTTAGGTGGCAAAGGGGTTGTCAGAGCTCCAAAGAAAAAGGTAGATGCTTGAATAATGAGGCTTAAATGCTTCCTGTGAATTTCCTGCACAGTGTTTATTGCATTATGATTTGTGCTTAGTGATGAATTCTGGGTTGGTGTAGGTCCTTGAAAACCTGGAAAGTCCTGAAATTTTATTTTGACATTTTCCAAGACTGGAAAGACCTGGAGAAGACTACAGGTCCTGGAAAGTCCTAGAAATCTGCTTAAATCAAGCAGTAAAGTTTTCAAGAGTTAAGGTCACTTAGCAAAATTAAAAACACTTAAAAGTTAGAAGGGATGGGAGCTAAAAATAATGCAGCCAGTCATGGCACAATACACAATGTGCAATACAATACACAATGCACAATACAATACACAGTGCAGTATGTATAATTATGGAAATCCACAGCCTGGATATTGTGGCATTGTCATTGTTGAGTGACACAACATTCTGGTACTTGAAATTGATATTATGAGAATATTGAACCACAGTATATAGCATTTACAAAATGCTTTGCTTTTGAATTTATTAATTTAAGCTTATCACGTCCATCACAAAATACCTTAATTCATAATTTTTAAGTATTTATTGGACAAGGGATTATGTAAGTAGATATGTGTAGTTCTGTCTAAACCTTTTACCTTTGAACCCCTAAGAGTTACTAGTATCTAATTTCTCCTTACAATATCACCTCTGAATCACTCATAAAGGTCATGAGAATAAAGAAAATCATCACCAGCTGAAGAAGCTCTTGATTGTAAAAGAAATTCTCCTTGTCAGCACCTTAGAAAATGTATGTGGAATAGCAGGGAGAATATTGAAAGTGATGTTAGGATGTAAAGGGTGGATATTAGACCATTGAGTTACTATGGCTTGCTGCTGCTGCAAGAAAAATTTTTTTGCTCACCTATGGCAGATTGAACTTTAAGTGGTACAGCAATTGCACAGGCACTTAGAAAGGGTATTTCTGTAGACCTCACACTTGTAAATTGTAATTGAACTCTGTACTTGGGACTTACTACATATGCAATTGTATTTTTCTTTAAGAATGTAAAAAAAAAGGTAACGCTTTCAAGAGCTCAGAGAAATAAGAAGAAATATGTGACAGTTGTTACTGGACTGGGTACATTTGGTAGGTGTAGATTATTTTGATTTAGTTAATTGTGATTGCTTGTATTGCTTCGTTGTGTTGTAAGACACTATCTAGTCTGTGTTAGGTGCTCTTGGAATTATACTGAAGGCACTGAAAAAGAGTGGGCAAGGAACTTTGGTTGAGATTGGGGAAAGAGTTATTTATTTTTAAATTCAACATATGGTTATGCAGTCTTGTAAGGCAGGAAAGGAGCCTTTTTGCTGGTGTTGCCATTTCACCTTGACTTGATACTCTAAAGTCTGAGTCATGTGGTCAAGAGCACTCTTCATAATTCCACTCTCTAGTTATTGCCCAACTATGTGCTGGCAGAAAAGAAAAAAATAATTTTTTATTTAGACTTGAAACAATTTGTTAAAGGCCCCTGGACTAAAGCTTGTCCTGTAAAAATTTAACATTTAATCCTTTCACTCCCAGATCTCATCAGTACTTCTCTTTTCTGTCTGCCATACAATACTTATGATGTTAACTAGTCTAGGGAATGTGTTATTGCATCAACTAAATTCTCTAATTGAGATGTTTATACACCAAAAATGTTGCAACATTGAAAATATATATTAAATATATATATCTTTTGTTTTCTGGTCAAAAAGTCTCTCTTTTTAATGAGAAATAAAAAGGTGTATATATTTGATAATTTATACATCTTAAATTTGCAACGTTTTTGAAAACGGGTGTGAATATATATTGTTTTTTGCACGATGATATATTGATATTGTAAGGAGAAATTCTGTCCTGGTCACTCATGTTAAAAGGGTCACTCTTGTTAAAGGGTTAATTTCTCCATTTTGGATCATGTGATACTTCATGGTTGGTTTTGTTATCAGTACTACTCCTTAAGAAAACTTGCATGTCAAATAGTTATATCCAGTTTGATAAAAACAACAGCCAACCTTCCATGTCATTAGTTCCAATATGGCACCCAGCCAGACATCACTGTTCTCACATGGTTGCTACTTCTTTCCAGATATTGACCTGAAAAAAGCTGCAAAGAGCTTCGCCCAAAAGTACTCGTGTGGATCGTCAGTGACGGGTGATGATGAAATTGTTATCCAGGGAGATGTTTTAGATGATCTACTAGATTTCATTCCAGAGAAATGGCCAGAGGTAAAGTCTTTCCTTCCTGTGATGTTTAAAAAAGAAATCTAGAATTGGAGAAAGAGAAGGGAAGAATCCTTCACCTGTGTCTTAACAGGTTGTAAAATTGAAATTTTTGAACCGCTTGAAAGAGTTTTAATACGTGTGTTGCCGCGAACAATGATTAACCAAGTAAAATCAAAACTTTTGATCCAAAATCCTTCACGAAGGCGTCGAGAAAACTCACGCTATTTGTTTACAGTGTTAAACACAACTTTAGGTTCAAAATCGAGAGAAACTGAACGATTTAAAGAGGTTTTAAAGGGGGTAAGTGCAGCGTCGGTGGGAGAGTATAGCAGTTAATTTAGTGTTAACAACTGAGTTGAAAACGTAAATTGGCCACCGTAAAGAGTAAAAAAGCTGACGTTTCGAGCGTTAGCCCTTTGTCAATCGCTCTGACTGAGGGCTAACGCTCGAAATGTCAGCTTTTTTACTCGTTACGGTGGCCAATTTACGTTTTCAACTCAGTTGTTAACACTAAATTACGTGCTAAAGAGGTTTTAACTCTGTTGCCTTATGGCACCGTTCGAAGATGCCGCCACTACGCATGCACGAAAACTTAGATGTCCCGTACAGGAACCAAGGCGACGGCCGCAACAGCGTGACTGGAAGCCAATTTATGCGCCGAACTAATGTGGTCACCATGTTGCGATCTGGGAACCAGACGTAAAAGAACTTAAGGGACAAAACTTCTAAGTTCCATAATCCCTCACCGACAGTTTTTTTTTTCATTTTGAAGGGAGTCTTTCTTTTCATTTTTTTTGTACAATTTCTTCAGGCCAATCCAAATAAGTAAGTTCGATATTTTGTTATTATTGCAGATTGATGACGATAGCATAGATGATCTCGGAGATCAGAAGAGATGATAGTTTTGAATTTATTCAATTTCTTGTAACTAAATTAAAAGCTAAACCATAATTTCATTCACTCCTGTTAGGCGCTTGCCAAGGAGCCTCTGTTAGTGAATTCGATTCTTCTCCAGTTCTAAAATATCGGTGAAGAGAAATATCTACACCTGCAAAATTTGTGAAGGTAGATTCACGACTTATAACCGGTCGTCCTATTACTCTTCATCCAAGTTTTCCCTTTCCTTTCGTTTTCCTGTTTTTCAATCACTATTCCGAAGAATTTTTTTGCAATGCTGCTAATATACCTCAAAGGACTCATGCATCTCTTTTTGTCAATCCTTTGCCTTATGGGCCCTTTCCCGTAGATAAAGGTATGAATAAAATTGACGCTGTTCTTTGTAAAGGAATAGCAAATGGTTCAGTGACCGTAAGTTGATTTGTGGTAATGCGTATATATTTTCCTAAGAAGGAGGCCTTCATTGACGCAGCTCTCTCCTTGATATTAGATTTGAGTATCTGCCAGTTATCACTTCCATGTTTTTATTCGATTTAAAATAATTTCATGGTGTAATCTTGCTGCGTCGCACACAATCTTTGTCCAGGGCCCGAGAGCACAACGCACTCCGATCCTGGCCAGGGCATGCGCACTATACAAATCCTCGTCATCCAGAATTCATTGCGCTATTCTTCACGACAAATCGTTTCCCTAGCTCGAAATTAAGTACTCTCTTTGTTGAAAGAGTTCGGAAAATTTTTGTGGCAATGACCACTTTGAAATAAAGACCACGAGATGAGGATAGTATGGCAGATAGGCAGAAAGGTGTTATTTCTTGTCACCTGTCATTTGATGGGGAAATTTGAAAGGCTGTATACCAAACGAAAGAACAAAAAATAGAGTATATTGAAGAATTATTAAGCCTTTACACCCCAACATCAGCTGTATGCTTATTCTCCAGCCAAACAGCACAATCTAGCTGAACTGGCTCAACTGGTTAAAATGGTCAAATATATCGCCTCTTCTCTATATTATGCCAGCGTGCTGATAAGGCAGAGAATTCGTTAAACAATCAACTGATCAAGAGCTTCTGTAGTTGGTGATTATTTCATTTATTCTCATGATTTCAATGTTTGATTCCTTGGGGGATACTGTAGGGAAAAATTAGGTGCTAGTCACTCTTGGGGGGGGGGGGGGGAGGGGAGTCAAAGGGTTTAGCGGACAACAACAATGAGCGCGTTAGTTAATATTTCCACGCCCATTGCCAGGTGAGTTTCCTGTGGTTAACACAGCCGGCTCAGAAATGCTTAGTGGCACAGTAAAGAAACAAGCTGCTGTCATACAATGACGGCCGCTTGTAGTAGTACAACAGACGACTCTTCCACACTTTCCACGACTTTGCGTCCTTCAGCTTAGGGATGGGTCGGTTTAACAGGGTGATGGGTGTGCCTGATTTGTAATGCTCTGCTACCCAGTGAACTGCCTGGTAGATGCCGTTTGATGAAGTGTCCAAGAGGCAAGTGCACAGATCGTCCTGCGGATTTTGAACAATTCAGAACAATCTTGAAAGTACACGGGAAAAATGGTTAAAAAGAAGGGAAAATGAGACAAGTCACACGTCACGGATTATTACCGTGGGGGAGGGGGGAGGGAAAGGGCCGGTTGGAGGATCTTTTGGGGGATCACATGGTTTTCAGCGGGATCTGAGGGGAACAATCTTCGCTAACAGAATAAACTCCAGTCTAACCAAAATCGTCGCCCGGATAAACAATGACCAGTTCTTAACACAAATGTCGCTATACTTAAGTTAAATACCATTGTTGACTTGGATTCGCTCAGTTGAAGAAGGCCGTCATCGTCCTTACCAATCCGGCTCAAAATGGCGTCCATGATATTCATCGTCTCAGTGGTGAAATCTTCCCCACGGGGTTCTTCTGGAGCAAACTACACCCTAACATTAGTGTGCACATTCTCTGTACTGCTCTCCATACATTTCCTAACGTTTGACATGGAGAATTTGTTTAACAATCAAGAGCTCCCTTAGATGGTGATCATTTCCTTCTTTTCGGGTTCAAAGAGTTGAAGTTTCAGCTAATTTTGTTAATTCGTTGATTGCGTGATCTGTAATTTGATTCAATAGTTCCAACACGTACCAAGCACGAAAATTTAGGCAACACTTTAAAAGTGCCAGCTAACAATCGTTGAAAAGAATGTCCAACCAATTCTAAACCAGCCAATTTTCAAATTTACGTGACGATTAAGAAAAGAAAAGTAAATTAATCTGTAATTGAGAAGTTTTTATGGCTTATCTTGTACCAAAGACTGCCACGGTTGAGTTTGACAAGGTCTCACTAGCTCATGGGTGCCTAGAGGTTTTAGTGCTAACCTGCAGTTGTAATGATTCTTCTCTATGAGGCGAATTTATAATAGTGTGCCGGTTGTTTTGATGTTGCAAGGAGGTAAGCAAAGTCCACAGCACTTACTTCGTCATGGATGTCGTGGTTCACAGTAGGAACTCGATTATCCTCATTTGCTCTCGGGTTAAACAGGCGAAGGCCCTGCACGCTCATGGAGTGAATTGTGTGGGCGATCGTCTCATTGAAATTCTGCGACAAAAAGTACGAAGCATACAGCTCCGTGCAAGAAGGCTGAACAGCTGCAGCTGAGCTGCAGAGAAAAGAGGCAACCAGCAGGAAGAGATTCATAATTATTGTCATTTTGCACAAGTCTTCGTACTCGTAGACACTTTTTGGTGCAGATAGTGAAGGATTGGCGTGACTTTTCAGACGTTTGCTACATCCCGTGATTTAAGTGTCGAGTTACATCTGCTATTCAAAGCATTGTTGGCACACAGAAGTTATGACAGCGTTTCGACAACTTACGTGGTGTGATAAAACAAAAAGTATTTATCATTTATTTCTCGTCCATCCTCTACTGTTTTAAAAGACATCAATTTACAGCAGTGAATATTGAACGTCAAAAATTCACTCCAGCTGCTTTACTGTAGAAACTATTATATGTTAAATATGTGGCAGAAAATCTGAATAGCGCATAATACATACAATACATCTTCTCGACGTTTATCGTGAAATATTTTGTATTATTACATAACTAGTATCTTGTAACGGTTGCAAAGGGATAGAAAAGCGCACACACGTTTTAAAACTGCTACAACACGCATTTTGAAATTGCTGAGTGTTTGAGTTAATTTACAACAAAGGAAGGAAATAAACACGTATTTTTCAATCCAACAATTACAAGGCTGTTTTAAACCATTAAATATTACTACCCCTTCCCTCAAGATGGGCAGCATCGATACGACTCCGCAATTCTTTCAATTTCTGAAAAAGAATTTTATTTACAACTGAAGATGTTACTCGCCTTCACGCAAGCACGGAACAAAAGAACAATCTAAGTCCTACACGAGGAATTCGGATGCCTAGTTCTGATGCTAATCCTTATTCTGTTCAGACCTGAAATTTCTTTATCATGAGAATAACCGGACCGTCTCTCTGAAAAATTTACCGTCAAAAGCGGAATGGTCAAAAATACAACTGTCTACCGTAGAAGAGGCTTATTTTGAACTCTCAAACGTCGGGGATGCTACTTCATTGAGATCCTGTTGGTAATGAGGACACTCTGTGATGCTTTATAAGAGGTACGGAAAGAATCTGTCATGGAGACCTCAGGATCAGAGCTGGAACTCGTCCTTCTAAAACGTTGGAACCATTCGAATCAGCAAATTCTGCGGATGAAACTGTGGAGAAGGTGACAATCAATCCACTGCACTGCACCGTGGATTCCCCTTCTTCGTATTTTCGTAATGAAACGTAGTACGGTGCCTCCACAAGCGAAGCTGCTATGTACTGCTGACCACCAGACAGGAGAACTGCCTGGTCGAAGTAAATTGGGTCACTTGTCCAATCTGGGAATCTACGTTGAACGGTTTTGGTGACGATTAAAACCCCGTCAGAGTGAGTTATCTTGATAGTTACCGTGACGTCAACTCGTTCTGGAAAAGTCGATCCGACTCTTACTCCTAGCACGTAATGGTCAGCGCTCAGCGTAAAGGCAATTTTGTCGAACTTGTCTGTGATTGGCCAGGATTGGTAATCGCTACTTATGGTTGACCTCCAGCAGTTAAATGGTGCTGATGATGAGAAAATATAAAAAAAAAGGTCACGATAGTACTATGTGCGCTCTGGTGGGTCGAAAACCTATCATTTATTTTATCGATAAACCGCTAGATAACATGATTTTGTCAGACCAACAGATTGCACCTTCCATCGATTTTCCGGGCTAAAACCTTCTTGATAATTTGGAAGGAAACTCGAAAAATTTGGGAATTATTCCCCTTCGGCGTCCTACGAACATCCCGCCGGGATCATGATTACGCTGGTAAAGCGAGGTAAAGTGCGGGGCATCGGTTCAAAGTTTCAGGATTATAAATGAAAGATTTAAAAGATTTGCTATCCTACACACAAAAAAACCGGTTTCGGCGACGAATTCAACTTCATCTGGTACTTATGAAAAAGGTGAATTATGGTAAAGGATAGGAATGAGTACTTGAAAACATGAACTTTATTGACATTTAAATTGCAGGTATTTTTGTCAAAACCACAGGTATTCTTATTTTTTGGTAACCTCAGAATTTTGAGGGACCAGTTACAATTTTTAACACCTGGAAAAAAGGGCGGGGGGGGGGGGGCTGGAGGATCCTCCCCATAGGGATCTGTAATATCCCTATGACGACTGATCCCCCTCTTTTCCCCCTGAAAACCATGTGATCCCCCTAAACATCACCCGACCCCCAGCCCCACCCACCAGGCGATAAAAAATGACTGGTCCCTTATAACACTGAGCTTAGGGAACCTACCATTTCTTTATTTGTACCATAACTAAGGAAAGTCAGACTCACCCAGTTGACAATGAACACCGGTAAATAAGACATCACACTGACATGTATATCCTCCACCGTAAGTTGCGTTACACTTTCCTCCGTTTAGGCACGGGTTACTGATCATACACGTTGTATCTTTGCATTGGGGAGAACAAGAGAAAAATGACGTTAAGGCCTTATTGCTCAGGCTAAGGAAAAAATCACCGAAACCAAAAGGTAAATCCCTAAGTTGATTTCTTGACTGGTTGCTGTTGTCGAGGGGAGCGGACGGAGAAGGGTGAGGGTGGAGGTCGATGAAAACGAAAGAAGACCAAGGTGCCATTTGATTTTTTACCTGGATAGACAACTGCAAGCATCAAGGAACACGAGAGATCAAACAGGAAGATGAATAGCAAAGAATGGAGTAGATTAAAGTGGAATTAAAATAGAAGTTTTGAAAAATCAATTTTTTTCTATAGATCATATGATGAAATTTACTGATTGCGACCTCGAGTTCCTGTATAAAGCCTGAATAATGCCTCGAGGCTGGCATATATCTTGAAACATTAGGTCAAGTGTTTTCCACAGATTCATGTGGAATCTGAGTTAATCTTCTCCATTCTTAAAGATTCCGCAATAATTTCAAATTCAATCAACTAAAACTTACCGAACTCGCAGTGTTTGCCTGTTTTCCCAGGATTGCAGATGCACGTGTAATTGTTAATATGGTCGTTACAGACTCCGCCAAGACACGGATTATTGGCGCACTCATCAATATCTGAAATAATATTCGCCAAAAACATTTGCAGAAAAAGCAAAAACAAAACGGTTAAAAATGTTTTAAGCGGACTGACCGGGCACTGGTGTTTTTTCTGAATGGCTTTTGTCTGGAATTAGAATACTAGTTTATATACAGTGACTACAGTGATGCACAGGCGGGCAAGCGAAAAAACTCAGTTATAGAACAAGAGATGAGGAAGGTAAATACCTCAAAGTTGGGCCTGACCCAATTGTGCTCATAAAATGTTGGAACGTCAAAAAGTTTCTAAAAAATTGCTAAAAATCCAAAAAGTTGCAAACTAAATTTCTTCATACGTAAAGATAAACGTGAATTAAAGGCTGTGTGTTTCGCTCTTCACAACAATTGCTAATATCAATGGAGAAAAATAAAGTAGCTTGAAAGTTGGTTTTAAAGAATTTCTCGGAAGAAATCATGAACTTTAACGATACTCTCAAGTCTAACGGAACAAAACACATGGTTCCTTTGACGTCTTACCATCTCATAAGATAAGCTAAGGATCGCAAATGGACCCGCGAAACACTGTCGAGTGACAGGTTATGTGTTCAAAAGGTTTAAAAACATTCAAGAAATTCGCATAAAAAAAGTTTTCCATAACATAATTGACTTTTTCGTGCTTGATGTGTGCTCTAAACATATATTTTGCTCAAAATTGCTGAGAAAGGCAAAAATTTCCTCCTGGTTGCTAGAACCACAAACAGTTGCTCCAAACGCTGAAAGTTGCTCAAAATATGCCGAGAATAAATGGGACAAGCCTTACTACCGTTATGAATCTTGAACATTCGCACGTTATAAATGGTAAGAGTTACCGCAGTAGCCTATTCAGCTTCACCATATGGTTGATAGCCAATCATGTGTAGAGTTGCGATTGGTCCAACTTTTATCAAGGAAACCTAATATAACTTGGTCATGGATTAGTCTTCATTTTTGTTCCTGAATTTGCTTTTATTTGCTAGTTTATGCAGGTCATAATCGGTTACATGATTCTGGCTTACAACAAAGGAGAAGCCATATCCATAGGAATTCAAGTTAGCTGTCAGTAAGAGCATATTTTAGTGACAAAATCATAATGAAACAAATCGTAAAGAAGTGAACGAGGGGATGGAGAGGGCTTCGCCTTTTTATAGGGTTGGCGGCTCCGACAGCAAATAACTCTCATACTTACCAATTTCACATTGGTTCCCTGTGAACCCGGGGAGACAGGCACAACTAAAACCGTTCACTTCATCCTCACACTGAGCTCCATTTTTGCAAGGATTGCTATTACATTCTTTAATATCTGTGGAAAAGAATCAAGGCAGAATTTCATTATACCCGCCTTTACATCGTGATAACATTAAGGAGAAAGGTTTGGACTGATTGACGTTCGTCAATCTCAGATTTCAGGTATAGAAGACATATGTAACTACATTAACATATTTTCCTTGATTGAGGGGTCATGAATGCTCCATAATATTGGATTTTTGGACACGAGGAACATGGATGCCTTGAGGTTTGACCTTTGGCCTTTATTTCAATCTCGCTTTCAGTCTTAGCTGTATCATTCAGTCGGTTTGATATTTGATTCGTTTGTCCTTGTCACGAGAAAGCCAATAAAACGGGTCTATTAAAATTCTTACGTATACCTCCGAAGCAATGGCGTCCTTTAAATCCTGGAAAGCATTTACATTTATAGCCTCCATCTGGTGTTACTTCGCATGTGCCACTCTCACATGGTAATCCGAGACAGCCTATCTTCATGTCTGTTAGAGGAAGGAAGCCACAATTTCATTCTCAAAACGCAGTTCACTCTTAATGAGAAATGCACCATCGAGATCTTGGTAGAAGTAATATTCCCTCGTCATAGGAGATTTCTTAGTGTATCGGGCGCTTTTTGACCGAGTTTAGTAAAATCAAAACCAAAGTAATTAAAATAGCCAATCCGAGGAAAGGAAATACCCTGAGGAGCCAGTGAGAATTCTGTGTTTTCTGGACCAATCGTTGAGTAAAGTAACCAAACCAATGTAATCCAGGATTTTCTTCCACACTCAATTTTAATTCCTCTATTTTATGGTTGAAATTACACCCTCAATAGACCACATTCGCTCCACCCTTGTTTCGTTTGAAGAGTTGACCCCTCAGAGAAGATATAATCACTCCCCTAATTATTAAATCTTTGCTTTACAGGATAATGTGTCTTACCATAAGGATAATCAATCCAGCTGAGGATTGTCTTCCATGCAGTCGCACCACTCGCCTTGAAGAGGACGTCTCTTGATGATGCTACAAAAATGGGATTAATGGACGTTCAAGACCTCTTTCATATTGGTGGGCATGATTATTATTCTTTTCAGTGCACGAATTTAGCCTTCTCAGTTCGGCTTTTGGGTGCAATATGCTGTTTTCAAAAAGTGTTATCGAGGCCAGACATGCTAAATTACACGAATATAACTATAAAACAAAAGCAATTAGTCCCGCCATTTATCGAGGAGGTTTAGCCAAATGGTCCATGGTTGTTAATGCCTGTCACCCTCAGGGATGTAGTTCGGAGGTCCTGGGGTGTCTGCCACTCCCCTTCCTTTGAGAGATGATTCTATCCTTTAATTTAACAACGCATAGCGACAGAATTTCACTTTAATCTATATACATAAGACTGTCGGGGAAGTACCTGATTTCCCTGTGACCCTGTTCCCCCCTTTTTTTTAAAAAAAAAATCCCACAAATGCCCCTGTCCATTGAAAATATGAGACAATAAAAAGAAATATTAGCTGATACTTACATCCCCACATATCATTACTTGCTGCGGATCTTCTTTTCCGCATAAATGCGATAGAAACTGGCAATGTTAAGGCGTCATAAGGATCTTTCACCGCTGTTTCCAGCACAGGCATGAAGGGCACTTCAGTAGCTGTGACAAGTGTTGGAGAATCCTTCACTTTGCTCCAAATGTTGTTTGAAATTGCAATCCATTCCATAAATGGGGAACACTTGTTTCTTAAGAAGGTCTTTTTGTTAGTGGCGACTCCATAGTGAGTATCGCCGACTGGGTCATAGGCAATGACATTCAAGACGTTTCTTGGAAGCTCTGATAAAGATGAACAGGCTTAGCATAGTCATCAGTAAATGACAGTTTACCATTTCCTTGGTTCTGATCTTACGTAACAAAATTTATCTTACAAGACTTATTATTCACGACCAGGATTTAGCTATAATTCACATACCTTTCCATGTCCCCCCACCATCAGAGGTTGATTTACAGTGTCGTTCAGATCTACAGGTAATAAAAAATGAAGAGATGAAAGAAATTCATTAGGCCCTCAGATTGAATGTTTCTTGGAATTATCACATGAAACTAAGGTTTATTGGTTTGTGAAAAAAATGGACCTAATCATGTAACTATGTGTTGCATTGCCATCAAAACAAATTATGAAAAACGTGATAAAAAGCAGTTGGTTGATCAACATTATTGTCTACTAACAGACGGGGGCAAGGAATTTTTAATTTAAACAGCAAGATTATGCTTATTGTCCAATTAAACTGTCTCAGCTAATCTCAGCACTTCAACCAAATGAACCAATTCAACTAGTTAGTGCATTTTGTACAGTTAAAGTAAATCGGCTTGTTTCACCATTCTAACCAGTTGAACCAATTCTGCTAGTCTGGGAATTTTGTCCAGCTTAACCTTTTTAACTAGTTTGACGGTTTTAACCAGTTGAACCAATTCAGCTAGTCTGTGCACATTGTCCAGTTGAAGCAAATCAGCTTGATTCACCATTTTAACCAGTTGAACCAATTCAGCTAGTCTGTGCACATTGTCCAGTTGAAGCAAATCAGCTTGATTCACCATTTTAACCAGTTGAACCAATTCAGCTAGTCTGTGCACATTGCCCAGTTGAAGCAAATCAGCTTGATTCACCATTTTAACCAGTTAAACCAATTATTTTAGTGTGAGCATTCTGTCGAGCTTAACCGTTTATGTTAATATCGCAGCTGTTTTAGACCTCGTCAAATAAAACATACCTCCTTACTTCTGATTTACAAACGATTAACGTGCTAGTTGTGGCTTTTAGGAGAAAGCTTCGCCCAAAGACAACAGGAACATCTTGACCTACTGAAATGTACCAAGACAAGCAGACGTTACTGTTCCCAACTTGCCCCCGTGTATGGTGTTTTACTATAGACATTGAACAGGCTTATTTTTGCCCATAAGTGGTATATGAATTTAAGGAACAAAATTATTTGAGAGGTAGCAGTGACTAAGTATTTGTATATTGTGTTTGATATTGTAAACAAACGATGGCGCTTCTTAGGAGTGACGTAAAAGTTTCTGTTATGAAAATGCTATTAAGGCATCGGTAACAATCGTTAAAGTTAGCATTTAAATTTACCGAAGTCTGGGTAGAAGTATAATTCCGCTCTCATACACGCCTGGTTGATGCAGGTCTTGGGTCGAAACCGAACGAATCGCGCGTTGACTGGAATCAAGAGCTTGTGTCGAATTGCTAGATTTCTCAAGGTGCTTCCCAAGAAGAGCTGTAGAGCATAATAAGAGCCACTAAGTCAGACGAAGAGGCAAATTTCTAAAACAAAGGGCAGCTGTTTGTTTCAACTTTAAAGAAACCTCCACATGTTCCATTAACCGTTTACACTCTAAAATCAGCACACATACTACGGGGAAAATCTTTTTTATAATCAAGAGCCTCTTTAGTTGGCGACCATTACGTTATTCTCATGACTTTAATGATTGATTCGGCATTGATATTGTGAGGAGAAATTAGGCGCTAGTCACTCTTAAGGGCCAAAGTGTTTAATGTCCTCTTTTACAATCTAAGACACAAGAGGGGTCCAGGAAAGACACAGTCCCTCCTCCCCCTTCAATTTCTGGGTAGCAGGTGAGAAAATTTCTCTTGACTTATTGCAAAATTTGTATGGGTACCTTGTTTGCTCCGTTTGCCTTGTAGTATTCCCATGATGCACCATCAGCACTGTTTTCCAAGAAGAATGACAGCACAGTATTTGTACCTCCTGAATCGTCATGTTTGCTTTGCACGTCCAACTGTCGATAAATCATCAATAACATTCGCTGGTCAGTCACAAGGAAGAGCATAGAAGAGCAAAAGGCTGGGTCATGGAACTTTCCATGGTGGTTCTGGCTTTGCTTTCGCTCTTAATTCAAGTCCATTCCCTCCTTTCTCCTTTTATTCACACTTCTTCAGATATTTACAGCATTCGATCATTACAACGGGAACTTGCTCTATCGAAGAGTGATACTACGGCGCACACAACCACGGCCAATCGGAGATAACTTTTTATGACACGGGCATTTTATTAAGATAAACTTAGCTCTAAGATAAACCAAAGGTTTGTAATGCACCGTCTTACCTCTCGAATGAGAAGGACTCGGCCCAAGTCAATCTGCAGATAAACAGAAGGATCACATGACGCAGCGCACCACGCCCCTCCACCTGTTCGTGAGTTCAGCCTCGAGAACTGGGCTCCGTACTCTAGGCTCAATTGAGAGGTCGACGTAAATTGGCTGTCAGGGATGGCACCTGATTCTATCCCTAGTCCAATAGGTGAAGGCACTGGAAAGAGAAATTCAAAACGATTATGCTTTTTCCCGTCACCGTATGCACAGAGGCAGAGGGCGCAATGGCGATGAATAACTTGGTCTGTACTCTGCAGTATTTTCTATTCCTTGTGGCTCTTATGTCGATTGCTTTATCGACAATAAGATAGTCTGTAAACAGACAACGGAGACTATTTGGTGAACAAAATAAATGTTTGCTTATGGAGGGGACCCTTACGCCACTACCGGCCTAAAGTGGATACAGGCCAGCACTCATTAACGTCTCACTACCGTTCAGCAGCCTCTACCACATGGCAAGGATCAGGATGAATGGATGCCAGGGTGAAGGGAGGATCTGTATTGGATTCCTATTATTCTTAAAACTTGTGATACCAAACAAACACAACTATCGTGTGTAAAAGCTACCAAAATCAAGCTTTCGCTTCATACCAGTGTTTCCATGCCAGACACTTCCAGTGTTTAAACAGTGGAATAACTCGACTTTGTAACCGGGCATTTCTTCCCCAATCTTCATTCGCTTGTCAAAGGGAGGAAGAACAATCCGGACAAAACGAGCGAAGGCTTCATACTTTAAACTTTTCATGACCATAACCGTGTCGCTGTCGATGCGATCAACCTTTTCAAATAAAACGGAAGAAAGCTCTTCTTTGTGTAATTAAGGGTTCACTTTAGAACTATTTTTTCAAATTGAAGCCTTTAAACGCAGCCCAACAAAATTCGGATAACAATTATTATAAACTAAATCACAATCCTGAAGTGGTTGAAATCTTGTGGGAACAAATAAGTCGCAGATTTAGCAACGCTTCTGGCTAATGTCAACTACTCGTATACTATATATATGCGTGAGTATGTGTGTATGCTTGCTATGCATCATTTGCAATGGTTTCATGCTCAGTTCTTCACGAGCACAGAAAAAAGTGTTCCTGAAGGCTGATCATACCAGCCGCTATCGTAATGTTTTTTTGGTGTTAAGAGTGAGGCATAAACGACATAAACAACAGAATACCGCTGTTTCAATCGCATGTCTTCTCTGTTTCCACTCTAATCCATCTTCACTGGTGACCAGAAAGATCTTTTCGAGTGGGATTTCCCGAGCAACTCCATGGATAGCGGCCTGAGAAACAAATCAAACAGACTTCTTAGCGTGTGGCTATTATCCTAACCTTTCCTTAGGGCCATGCATCTTAAAGGAGATCAGGGAAAACAAATGCGAGGAGAGAGACTGTAAAGCAGCCAGGCTACTAAGCAAATTCAAAATGGCAGCCTCTTCGCTTAAATTCTTAGCACATTAAAGGACGTTCTGCGAGAAGAAAGGTTACTCTCTATAATATCAAAACGTGGTTAGGGTCACGATTTCGGACATGATTTCTGGTGTGCATAAGAATCGTATGATTCCTGCATACATAGTTTCATCATCAAAAAGGGAAAAGAGATTGAAAGAAAAATATTGAAAACGGAGAAAAATGAATACAAGAACAAAAAAAACCAAGGAACAAAGATACAACACAAATCAATTCAGCGAGTGGTCTCTTCGATCGTCAATGGCAACAAAACTTGGTACAAGGATGTTGTAGAATGGTGACAAAGTTTACCGTGACAACTTCAGATTTTAATAGCATAATTCTTTACTAGACAACAGGTACGCGAATGCTATTCAAAATCAATAAGTAAGCAATATAAACGAATAAACACAAAGTGAAACGAAACTATTAGAATTAAATCAGGCAGATTGCAGTGCAGGATGTGCAGCATGTTACTACTGAATAAGGTTCTTTGCACGGAGTATCAGCTATTTTAAATTATGGTATACAACAAAGAGAACAATGCAAGAGTGAACCTTCCCTAGCCTCAGCTAGTATCTTACCATTTTAATACCAGCGACCAATTTCAGATCAACTTGAAAGAAATGCAGGGTATGAAATTCTTTTTTTGATCTCTTCTTTGGGATCCATCCCGTGAAGCTATCTCCTATTCGTCCGGAGTATGACAGAAATGTTTCCTTTCGACTAGAAGACGCTGCTATTTGGCTATCCTTTACTTCTCCACTTGATAGACCGACCGACCCGAAGCCTTCACAACCTGCAAATAACGAAATATTACAAAGTTTTTAGAGATAACTTTCAGAGCAGTCTCACCCATCAAGTGTCATAAAACTAATCCCAAAGCAATCTTAACGACCAATCAGTGCGAAGGAGGATGTCGCAAGGAGCAAATAAAAACTCAAAGCAAATCAACTTCCTGAAGCGCTTAAAAACGTATGTTACCAAGCTACGACTGGCCGGTGGAATGGAGGACGTTTCTAGGATCTATGCTAGAGCGTAGTGCAGCAAAACTACTTCAACCTCGGATTAATTTCTATACTCAGTTGAAGATTTCCTTCGAACTGCTCACCTGGACTGTAGAAAGGGATCTCCGTCATGACATCATCGTGATTTGTGGATTCACAGCTGCGTTGGTCGTGACCTTGGTATCGCAGGCTCACTTTACATGGTGCGTGATGAAATAAGTCGTCATGAAAATTGTTGCTCGGATCCAATTGAAATGCTGCTTGTACAGCCACGTACTCAGTAATCAAGAGCTCGTTGAACTTTTCCAAACAAAAGATAAATGAAATTGGTAAATCAGTAAGATTGCCATACGAATATTGGACGGGAAATCTTGTTTTTTTCGGCTGTTATGAGCCCTGCAGTTTAACTCCCTCTTGACTTCTCACTAGCCTAAGTAACATAATAATCTTGTGATAGGATGAAACCATAAAAACGGTCTCCACGTAGCAACAACAATCGTGCCCTGGGCCAGCCACTATCCTCGTGTACCATTCTAAAGTTGGTAATGAACTTCAACAGCGAAGGTTTTATTAAACGGAAATAAAAAGAAACTCTTCGTCATCGAAGAGAGATAGCCTAAAGGACCTCGACGTACACGGAAATACACCGGTAGCATTTTACCACAAACAGTATCCCCTTTGGGAAGGATGCTATATGATTTTTGCGAATCCCCAATTTCAAGCCCCCCACCTTCCCGTGGTTGACATCATTGATGTGTTATAAAATTACCTTCATTGTGAGGGAGAGAAATTTATCGGAACGAGTCACGGTGACGTTGTTAGGGGGACGTGATCCGTTTGAGGTGAACTGTTCGTACTTGAAGTAGCTTGGTAACGTGAAGAGTAAAACCACTTCAGTTGTGTTGTCCATTGCTGGGGTTTGGTGTGTGATGTTGGCTTGGATATATGCAGTTTTGCTATTTGTGGGGGAATGATATAGCAAACAAATAAAAGATTGAACTATAATGAAGTCTTAGTATTTGGCTGATCTAATTTCTTTTAAGGCTTTGCTTTGATCACAAAAGCTGCTTCAAGAAGAACGAAAAAAAGCATCTCCTACCAGAATTTTCTTCCACCGGATGTGCGATCTAAATAACTTATTTGATGCTTTCACTTCTCTTTCTACGGCTTTTCTGCTGATGCAACATGCAATACAACCATGGGCTCGTTCAAAAACATTTAGCTCAATGATTTTATTTCTTAGAATAAACAATTCTAGATTACGGACTGTATACAACATTTACAGCTGTTTAAACAGAAGTTTTTTCCCTAGCTGCGTCTATTCAATTTTTTATCCACATGTTCTGGCTTTTGTAAAAGAATTGTATTTGTTGTAAAGATAACTACGCATCTTCGAAAGCAAAAACGCATGGTTTTAATATAGACATGCATATCGCTAGGTCAGAAAAAAAAACATTTCTTACGATGATACACCTACATAATCCTAAACTGATTTGAATTGAATCTATTTATAAAATTTGTAGGCTCGGCATTTAAAAACCAATTATCGTTTGTCGATTACTCATAACATGAGAGCGAAATTGATAAACAAGAAAACATCTTCTAAGAAAGTAAATACCATTTTTGCATAACATAAATTATGTATAACTGCAGACCAAGACAAGAAAAGGAAGATAAAGTTTTTGTACAACAGCTTAGATTCGAATTCCACAACAGAAATGCAGTGTAATGTACTAAAGAATGATTAAGGTTGAAAAAGCTAGATGCACTTTCATCCTAAATATCATAATTTTTTTGTTTTAGGGATTGAAAAAATACACTGGTCCTTTTTCGTTACCTTACTCATTAAGCATTCTTGAATCTACATAACTTTTCAATTGAAAATTGGTTTGCTTTCCAATAATATTCAAATCTGGAAAACTGCTATTACGACCGACGTATTTCAATCTATCTGGTAAAATTTAATGACGAAGTTTATTGTTAGAAAACAGACTAGAAATATCTATATTGGGTGAAAAAGTTAGATTGGAATATCAAGTGTAAACAAAACTTTGGGTACTTTGGTCTTGAAGACTGCAAACATTTTTTCTACAAATGAAACGAATTAACTCCCACATTAATTGAAGGCTGGTGACGGACATTTGTTTTCAATTATCGTTTCAGAGACAATTTCAGGTCGAATTGTACACGTTGATCTCAATGCTATTTTTAACGAAGTAACTCAGTGCAAAAGAAAAAAAAAAAGGTAAAGTAAAGTTTTATCTTTTCATTATTCATTTAGTTTTAAAAGTTGTCCGAAGACAACAATGAGTTTTGCACTAACGCTGTTGTACTTCAGTGACAAGTTCTTACCCTGCATAAATAGGTCCACTCGTTACTTTTGTGGCTTCAAGGAGAAGTGAGGTTGAAGTTCCATTGTTTATAAAGGTCATCACCTGCAGTCATTGAACGTGTAAAAAAATATCTCAGCCGTGACAGTCTTTAAAACTTAAGTATAATCATTTAATTCATTACTCCAAGAGACTTTCTTTGGAAATAGGATGTAAGAGAGGAATTGAAGAAATCCAAAAAAATAAAAAAATAGAATTCCAGCGTCGCAATTAAAGAAACGAGGTTTGTTTACTTAAGAAATTATTACTGTTAAAACTCCTGTTGATAAGCAAACACGATAAATATCATTGTCATCCATGTTAAGAGTTTGAAATAGATTTCCTAAGAGCCCGCGAATGTTTTGAAAAAATACTAAGATAATTCTGAATATTTAAAATGTTCTTGGGTTATAATATTTGGTAGGATTCTTATGCTATACAGGGGAATGATTCAAAATCCAAGACTTGAGAGGCGCTAAGATTGCTGTCTGAGAATCCAACTCCAAAACTTCACCACTCCTTATTTTTGTTTTGATTATTCCAATACGCTATAAATGTTAGGAAAATGTTGCATTAGATAGCAATTCTCTCTTTTGGCGACGTTCTTTACTGAGATATGACAGCTTCTACTTTACAATTGCAACATATGCCAAACAACAGCGATCGTGTAAGTGAAGATTTTTGTCGCTCAGAGCGAAAAATCTGTGCTACTCCAGGCTGCCTTTTGACCGAGATCTTTCGGCAACAAAATCAACTCCTAGACTTTGACAATTCTAGAAACACTGTCAGACTTCGTACCGGGGAAAAATCTTCTATGGAAGAGACTAACAGACTCACTGAAATTTGAAAAAAAAAATCACACCCACTATACCTCAAGGTACTTTTCGTTACCCCTGTTGTGCCCCCCAAAAAATAAAAAATATGTTAGCTTACTCGCTGTACTTACCCCAGAAACTACTAAGAAAGCATTTATAAGGCTCGGCTTCCTTCTCATCGTTCAAGTGCTTGAGATAGCGGTATCACTTTGGCAGCTCACAGTTTTCCTTTATAACTGATTGACGTAATCACGCCACAAGGCGGCACGGCAGAAAAATGGCTTTCGGCGGGGTGACTCAAGTTATTAAGAACAAAAGCTTCGAGAAAAACCCCTTGTAATCAGCTTTTGTTTTTTCGATCAAAGTGGTCTAGTCCTAATATTTTTGTATGTAGCTACAAAAGAAAATTATTAATTCATTCACAACAGTGATGTTTTAAAGAGAACACACACGTCAAAACACCGGTGGTAATTGCAGTTTTTCGCAGTTTTCATGATCTAATCCTTTAAATCCTAATACAAATATGCATGTTTTCTGTACTGATTTATATACATTTCCCAAGATGCTGACAAGGAGAATTTGTTTAACAATCGAGAGCCTCTTTTGTAGTTGATCATTTCTTACATTCTCCTGACCTCAATGTGTGATCCATACAGGTGATTTCTGTTTACATATAAAGTACAACAAATTTGTCGAAGAGCGGGTTACCTTCTGAGCTAGAATTCTCTTCTTTCTGAATACAAATATCGATTATGTCGGACCTAATTATCACGAAATAGACAGCGAGTAGCGAAGCCAATCATACTGCCGTATTTGTGAGAAAACGCTGATAGATTCATACTAATTTTAGTTACCCTGAGCGCTCAAATAATCATTGATTGTACATTACTGTTACCCACCGTGTAAAAATTTTATCTTGATTACACTGATTTGATGTTTTGATCCTTCACTAAAATCTTTGGTATGAATACAGAGGCTTGAAAAATGTTTCAAAGGAGCCTTCGGCCCTCTTGCATGTTCTGCCAGGGTCGCTCGACCCTATCTGTCCGACAGAGCCTGGTGACAATAAGACACTAAGGAAACTGAGTCAGTTTTATAGTTTCATAGACACAGGAACCGAAGGCCTTCCGCTTAAAAACAAATACAGAATTTCTGCGTGGAATGCCGTATTCCTTGGGCTAAATCTTGAACTAAAACGTTGGTCACTCCTTTAACTGAAAGACAGACTAACAGAAGTTTATTAACGGTATTTTCTTGTTTCGACGACGCAAAGTTAACCTACGGTAGCTAGAATTGAAAATGGTTCCAATGTTCGGAGGTACGAACCTTATGCAACGTCCTCCTGAAAGGCCACGGACAACTGGTCAAGCCAATAACGAGCCAAGACAACTGGACTTCACTGCGGCTATGAACGACTTTAAACACATGTTTCCTAACGTGGATCGGGAAGTTATAGAAGCAGTTTTGCGCGCTAACAACGGCTTGGTAGATGCCACCATTGATCAACTGTTATCGATGGGACTTGACATGGAAGGAACATCTTCAACGCAGTCTGATCTTCCCCCTTTACCTTCTTACAGTGATGTGGATCGTTCAGAACCGCCTCCAGCTTACACACCTCGAGATCAAGAAATTTCGCGGAGTTCTGGGAGTCCATCTCGGCCGCTTCCTGCTAGACCTTACTCGGCATGGAACCCACCATTACTGGGCAAATTGCCGGATGATTTTTTACGTCTCGGTCCTCCTTCAACGAGTTCTACCGGCGTTTTTGGCGACAGTATGGGCGACCAAGAGCTAGAAAGATTTCTGGAAGATGAAAAATTGGCCATGGTCTTGCAGAATGAAGAATTTATGAGAGAGCTGAGGCATAATAGAGATTTTATGTTGTCATTGGAAAAAGGTTTGTGAATATTCTTAGCGTGAGTTAAGGTATGTAATTGTTTTATGAAGTAACAAATTACCATAGACTCAAGTGAGTACTTTATAATTTGAAACAGGATATACGTGGTACAGTTTTTTCAGTTTTCAAATTCGCCTACTTTCAAGAGGTTTTTGATGTATGCTATGGATACAATTTCAATTTTAATATCTTCCGGCAATTGAATGTTTCATAATTGTTTTCTCCTTGTCTCAGTTTCATTAAATATTTAAAAATACGTAATGAGGAACTACCGAAAAAACCTGTTGTGAGAATAGTATTTAATTAATCATTTATTTGTTGTTTTTTCCTTGATGATAGGAAAGTAACAGTATATCTGATTCATTTTAATCTGTGCACTCCTGTGTCGAACAGTGTATGTATTGATGAAATGAAATGCACTTGAAACTCAAAATGATTTTATTTTGTTAATCTACAGACGGGCAAAGAAATACAGTTCCATCTCGGAACATGAGTAAGTTATATTCAAAAGCTTCGGTTGTAAATGTATATAAGTAAGTAAGTAGTTAAATCATGGATTTTCAGGCTATTATAATATTTATGAAATATTTTGTGTGTGTGGGTGTCTTAGATAAGCAATATCGCTCTTTGTAAATGTTTGTACGTTCTCAGCAACAAAGCAATGCTTGTAAAAGATTGTGTAAGGGTGTTTAATAAAGGCTGTTTCTGTTTTGCATTGAGGGTTGTCCAATACCACGGTTTGATACATGTCATCTAATGTAATCACAAGTCGTACAATTTGTCAACCATGAATATTCATTGTAGAAACCATGGAACCAAAACAAGTCATAAGGCTGTGCTGTCTATTCATGAATGTCATCAGGGAGACTTTGATATTTTTTCACCACTTTGAGAGAACTGACCCCAGATGGTGGTGTATCAATTTGTACAAGTGGTTCAAGTCGTCAATTCATGAATATTTGCTACAGAAACCATGGAAACGAAACAAGTCAAAAGGCTGTACTGTCTATCCATGAATGTTATTAGGGAGATGTGTTGCTTTTAGAGCAAGGAATGCTTTTGTTGTTTGTGCACTTTGCACATTGCTTTTCATTAGAACAAAGGTTTCTCTTGTTATTTGTGCACTTCATGCTGTGCTCTTAGAATGAGGAATAATTTTTTCTTGGTGCATTTTACATGGTACTTTTAGAACAAGGAATACTCTTGTTGTTTGTGCACTTCATGCAGTACTTTTGGAACGAAGAATATTCTTGCTATTTGTGTACTTTATGTGGCACTTTTAGTAGTGCAAGGACCTTCTTGTTTGTGCACTTTGCGCAGTGGTTTTATGGTGAAAAAATCTCCCTAATGACATTCATGGATAGACAGCACAGCATTACAACTTGTTTTGTTTCCATGGTTTCTGTAGTGATTGAATGCTTGAATTGACAAATCGGTGAGAAACTGTTGGTCTCCCTAGTGAGGGGCACTAGATCTACATTAGATGACTCGTACCGATCCATAGTATTGGACATACTTGTTTGCATTACATTATTTTATATTTCAGTTTAGAACCAAGACTAGATTATCTCTCACAGTTTGTTGTACTTGGTATGATTTTAAATGCATTTGTACTGTCCTCTCGCACAGCACCAGTAGAAGCCCCTTCCAGAAATGTTCCAGTCGCAGCTGGAGGAAGCAACAGTAGTAGGCATGCACCTCAACCTCAGACTCCAACACAAGTGTTGCCTGGGAGCTCAGAGACTGCTGGAGCAGTTGGTGGACACTCAGCACCAGCTGCAGATTCAGCCTCCCCACATGATGATGCTGTCTTGAGGGAGAAGTTAAAGCACATGGGAAAGAGTAAGCACTGTGTTTTCAATATTTAACCCCTAACCTCCCAATATCTAGTTGTTCATTCTCCCCTCTAGCTGCTACACATTTCCTTGTAAATTAGTTCAAAGAATTTGGTATTAGATCAAGATAACAACTTCTACCTGATAAGTTTTAATATTCTCATGACCTGTTTGCTGGATAATGAATGGATATTATAAAGGGAAGTTGCATATTAATCACTATTGGGCTGGACAGAAATGACTGAAGCATTTTTCACTCCTAGAAAAAAGCCATTGTTGATCCTATGCGTGCTAAAGAAATTCCTGTGAGGAATCAAACAAGCTGCATTACAGTCAAACTCCTAAGCAGTCACCCTTGGGGAATGTTGGGGTGATCCTTTAATACAGGTTGAGGGCTGAATCCTTTAACTCCTAAGAGTGACTAGCATCTAATTTCTCCTTACAATATCACCCCCAAATCACATATTAAGGTAATGAGAATAAAGGAAATGGTCACCAACTAAATAAGCTCTGGATTATGAAACAGATTCTCAGCATCAGCACCTTAGAGAATGTATAGGGAACTGTATGGAGAATATGCATAATGATGTTAGTGTGTAAAGGGTTAATACAGGTTAACCGGCAAATTACATGGGAGATGTTTTTATATAATACAATCATGTAGTTGTTCCAACAGTTCAAAGAAGAAAGATAATCTGCAAGACCTTGCATAAATTCAAACTTAAAGTGCTAACACTGATTTTGAGAATAAATTTGACTCAAGAGATTATTTGTAGTTCTGCTTTAAGTGGCTTATCAGTAAAGGTATGACTTAGTCAAGGGTGACCACAACTACTTTAAAGGGGTTGACTGCTTAAAAAAAAAGTAGGTTAAAATTACAATACTTAAGAGGGAAAAATTTTGGAACTTTGACAACTAACTGTTTAATACAGGGTGACTTAATACAGTGCTTCTTAATACAAGTTTGACTGTATATGTTTTGTTTGTTTGTTTTTTTTTTAATTCTGTAATATTTTATTAATTACTTTTCATCATTTTGCTAATCTTTAGGTACAAGAAAGAAGTTTGACAAGCTGGCGCGAATGTTTCACAGAAAGAATGTCAACCGAACAAAGTATCCTTTACACAGGCAGAGAGAGTTGCCACATTTTGTGTTAGTGTATTCCTTAGTTTAACTCACTTTTCATCCAGATTGTGATAGTCTTCAACAAAATATTTGTGCTGGACAGTTAATAAAAAATCCAAGTTTGTTGTGAGACCTATAAAGTTTGTCTGGGCAACCCTATTCTTCCTTGCAATGTTGGATAATACTAAAATTCAAACTTCAGTGTTCAACATTGCATTAGGGAGGAGAGGGGAAAAATTCACCTATAGCATAACCCCTTTGGAAATAATAATAATAATAATAATAATAATGATAAAAGTAACTCCTGAGTTTGACTCCTAATGAATGGATTGGAAACATGGGTAGTCTGTGGTGTTACTGAAAGATGCTATAGATTATGTTTCTTAACCTTGAAGTCTCATTGCTACTGGTACTGCTGCATCCACTGCCAACCTTCTGGAAGGTTACAATGATGATGACGATGATGGTGGGTTTATAATCATGAGGTGTAACTTTTTATGTGTGGTTCCTTGTTCTTTGATTGACATGGGCATAACTAATTATATTTCTAAAGATTGCTACATATTTACTTATCTCTTGAATAATTTGTATTGTTTTGTTCTTTCTAACCACAGATGAAATGCTGAATGCCATGGGATCTGCTAGGCTGGAAATTATGGACGAGAGAGATGAAGACAGTGAAATAGAAAAATCACCTAAAAAGACTGCCTCTCAGCAGAAGGTATGGACAGGTTACTTGTTGATTTCCAAAGTGTTGTTTTATATCCAATTTGCTGGTTAGATTTTGATTATTTTATACATGTTTGTGCAGTGTGCAGCACTATTGGTATTTTTGGGGGGAAGAGAGGTATGAGAAGAGTGTTCATAATTACCCCTGCCCACGTTGTGCTCATTTGCATTTATTTGCACTAGGACCCAGAATAATTGTAGGGGTTACCCTTGTTTTGACAGTGACTACAAACTGTGAATTTCTTTCATAGATTTTGAGATGGGGAATTCCTGGTGCATTTTAGCCCTCTTGAAAAGACCAATAGTGTAGTCCTGTTTATCAAGACTCAGTGATCATTACTAATAATTCTTAATACATCAACCTGACTTGTCCCTAATTGCAAGTACTGTTGGGGTCAAGTGTAGGACTCATTCACTGGAGAATCTTTCCTACTCTCCTTATTCATGTGACTCAAACATTTGATTATATTTTACAAATCTAGTTAGTATACTAAACTGAAGGATGACATATCAACTCTTTGACATCTGAGAGTGACTAGCGTCTAATTTCTCCTTACAGTATCAGTGGCAGATTTAGGGGAGGGGCCCAGGCCCCCCTTATTTTGGTTAAAAAAAGAAAAGAAGGAAGAAACCCCCCCCCCCTTAGCTCAAGGTCTGGTTCTGCCACTGAGTAGTATCCCTGAATCAAACATAAAGGTTATGAGAATAAAGGAAATGATCACCAACTAAAGAAGCTTTTGATTGTTAAACAAATTCTCCTTATCAGCTCCTTAGGAGATGTATAGAGAACAGTATGGAGAATATGTATACCGATGCTGGGATCTAAAGGGCTCATATAATAATACTTAATTGAATTATTTACTCTTTCTTTTCATGAAGCCACCAGAGGCAGAACAGAGGAAGGCAGCTGGAAGTATCGAGCCAATAGTCTTCTTCTCTGACGATAACGAATTTCAATTTAAACAAGAAAACTAGAAATATATATGTATGTAGTGAGAAAAATGATTTTAACTGTCATTCAGGTTTGTTACAGGGGGTAGAAATTACTACTTTTGGTGTTAACAGTGCACACCCCAGCCTAAATAATGAAAGAGTACAAGCCTGAAGTACTGTGATAATCAGTAACTGAGACTTTAATTTAATGTAAGTGTCACGGCTGACTCAGAATCTGAGTACCACGCCTGGCTGAAGGAGAGTGCATGCGCACTTATAGGAGGGAAGGGGGTGGATGAGACTGAGGTGAAAATCCGATGAAATGTAACATCGGGATGATTGATCTTGAGGTTAACATTAGTTGGGTTGAAAAGGGAACACAGGTACAGCTCCATCATGAACGAGAATGAAAGGTTTGTGTGTTGAAAAAAAAGCATTTTCATTAGCGTTGCATCTACCCCTCAACACAGTTTCAGAAAGTTTATGAAAGGCTGTGGAACAATATTTCGAATAATTATCCTACAAAACAACAATCATTAGGACTGGTTCATTTGATCAGATTTGCCAAAGCTGACAGAGCACGAGAGCATTTGAATTTTTCTAATGAACTAACAAACTTACAGTCATACTAGCAATATGTAACAATTATTCACCACTTTCACAGACGCTAAGGTGAATAATTGTTTTATTATATACCACACAGATACCAAAAACTCGGTTTATTTCTTTCATGATACCGAAAAATCGTCAGAAATTAAACTCTTGACGGGCGACTCGGTCTCATCACCTGTTGGGAGGTGAGTAGTACTTGCTATTCACTTCCGAACTAGCCAATCAGCGCGCGCGAAAAGCACTATTCACTTGTGTGGTATATACTAAAATAAACTCTCTTTTTATTTTGATATATATATCGTACAATGACGTGGAAGATGTATACTTGGAAAAGTGCGAATGACAAGCTCTTCGTCAATCACTCAGATGATGAATTCGTTAAGTTTGTCGAAATGTCAGTCATTACAAAAAAAAAAAGCGCTGTAAACAACAACAGCCCATTCTCAGAACAACTCTCACCCAGACTGCATGATCAACAATTACTCCTGGGTTTAACCCATTTACAATTCGGCTGACCATCTATACTAATTCACCGAAAAAGGAGCTATTCAAAGTAGTGAACTTAAAAAAGTCGGCTTTCCATTTCGGTTTGGACAGAAAACATTTAGAAAACGGAACTTTTGGGAAACAATGATGTCACTACTCATTGGATGCTTTGGTCATTCTCGTTTCCTGTCGTCTCCGTTTCTTTTGCCCACGTGATCGGGGAGACGGTCAGTGGAAACGTGTGGCTCGGTGGACGAAAAATAGTGGAATGAGTATGTCCGAAAATGCAGTCAAGCGTTTCGACGGTCGATGACTTGTGACGTGGACGGGAAAAATTTCCTTCGTCTCCAATACAGATGGAAACTTAACACGAGTTTAAAAAGTGAAAGGCTTAATTTTTGGTCTTCGATTTAGGGTTTTTTTTAATTTTTATTTTAAAGTTCGTCCTATGCAGTGTTAACGGGAATATGTATGTTGAAAGGAACGTGTTATGTTAAGTTGAACCAAGGGAATTGTCCCCGTTCGGTGTCAATAGTTAATATGTACACGTAAATTGCAAACTATTTATCCAACTAATTTATAAGCGGGCAACTCTGGGAAATGAAAGTCTGCGGGAAAGGCATACACCCAGGGATAGTTTATATAAATCATTACAAATGATTATTCTGATACATAGATAAAATTCAGTATTAAATTTAGATTTGTTTGATAAACCTTTCGAAAAGTATTAACTTTTTTTTCAACCAACATAAACATGGCAATATCATGGCAGAGATTACGTTTCAGGAGGGTAGTGAACTCGAGGATTTGTACAATCTTGTTTAAGGCTGGGAATTCGTTGGCGGTCATTGTCTTAGGTGGGAATCAGGTATATTTTTCGTACAAAAGTACTTGTGTTCAATCACAAATGTGGCAACATTATAAGCTGCGCTACTCGCTTACTATTTGGCAAATACATTGAGCGTTACTTTGCGTCTGTTTAGTAATCAAAGTTGACGCCAAATGTGGAAACAAAATGTAGAGACAAAAAATATTTGTTGTATGAAATGGTGGCAAAATCAGCAACTTACTTCAACCTTAAGGCTGCTCGATTAAACATTTTTCATTGCATAACTTGGTAGATTTTGAAGTAAAAACCTTTGTCACGTACAACAATAAATAAAAAAGAGAAGCGAAATGGTACGGATAATGATATCTTGTACTCGCAATTCAGGCTCACTAGATCTTATATCCCCTGGAAAAGCGCACCCGTCTTTCGAGAATTCCGTAACGTGATTAATGGCAGCGTTAAAGCTCTTTAATTTTTCATTCACCCTCCTACACAATCTCACTTTAAAATCCTTACATATTTAATAAGTGCGATGTGGAGGCGTTGATTTTACTGTGTTACTAAGATTCTGCTCACAGTCGTAAACACATGCATGGCGATCACTTGACTTGACTTGTAGTCAATGTAAATAGTTTTTCTCGGAAATAAATCAAAAGAGCAACGTCGTACCATACATGTAGTTTCAACCTTTAACCATCTAAACCATAAGAGTGACTAGCATCAAATTTCTCCCCACAATATCACCCCTGAATCACACGTTATGGTTATGAGAATAAAGGAAATGATCACCAACGAAATAAGCTTTTGATTGGTAAACAAATTCTCCTGGTCAGCACCTTAGGAAATGTATTAAGAGCAGTATGGAGAATATGCATACTGATTTTAGGGCGTAAAGGGTTAAAGAGCGAGGTGGAACCGCTGGGGATGGTTGGCTGAAATGTAACACCTTTGTTGTCAGCCGGTTCAAACGACACTGTATTAGTAATTTTGATAGTTCGTCCAAAAAAAAAAATGGTTCAATCGCGCGTAACAATGTTGCTGTACAAATGTGGATGATGTTCGAGAAAGTCAAAGCAAAACTTTCGAATTAACTGGGATGGTAAAAAAATACCCAACAAATATTTTGTAAGGTCTCTAAAAAATAGAGCAAACTAGATTTCTCAATTTATTCCCCAGTCGTTAAAAGTTCTTGACTTGCACGGAATTGGCTTGAGGCCATTCTTGTGTACTCGGCGCTCTGAAAGAGCTACGCAAATTTGACAATAAAGTGGATATTTCGGAAACCAAAAGTTTCCAATAACAGTGTCAGTGATATTTCCAAAACCTCTCCATTTCCACTCTAAGAATTTGTTGTATTCTGCCTCAGTGTTACCAAGGTATTTTAGATACTCCGCCAGTTGCTGTGGACTTTTGAAATCACGAACTCTTATGACGGAGCGTTTGAGATTTCCTGGCAGGAACTCGTCAAGTTTGTCTGTGCTCATTACCACGGGAACTGAGCCTGCATTCAGAGCATGACTTAGTTGTGCGTCCACGAAGTAATCACAATCCTGATTGAAAAACACCAAAGAGAACTTGTATCTTCTGGCTAGGTCGGTTTTGACTTCTCGGAATTCTTTCCCGTTCTCTGAACCATATCTGTTGACTAGACCTTGTTTGTTCCTTAGACAGGCTCCATACGAGTCAACCTGCACAAACTTCATCAACTGTCTCATGTATTCCGTCCGCACGGGTTCACAGTTGGAAAATACGGCTAGAATGAGTCCATCTTTGTCTTTAAAGGGAACTGGTGGTGTCACATTTGGCTTTCTAAAAGTTGGATCGGGGAAGTCCGAGTCCAGGCGATAACTTTGCAACAGATTAAATTTTGACATAAAATTGGGATTGGTTAGAGAGGGAGTGTACACAGGGTTTTCTTGTGTTTGAAGGATCCACGGTACGGATTTATTTGGAGGTATCATGTGCGAATCTCGCGCATGGACTACAAAGGCGTCTGCCTCATTCGCTCGTGAATGATCACTTGACACCTCGCAGGCCACAGGGCAGTCTCCCTGCTTCCAAGAGAGATGTAAATCTAGCTTAACTTGAAAATATGTCGACCAGTAAACGATGAGCCATTGCAGTTTTTTGTGGTGAATTGTGTAAGAACGATTTTCGTTGGTCTTTAGATTCGAGTCCATGAGCGTAGATATTTCCCGCTTGGCAGTCTCTTTCGTTGATCTTATGGAGTTGATATACACAACCAGCGAACTACCTTTTGGGCCGAAGAAATTTGTTTCAAATTTCCATAATAGCACCATTAAGATAGAAAGGAAAAGTAGAAACGTTAAAGCAAAAGATTTCCCTGCCATTTTAAACCATGTTTGAGTCGACTACTCCTTTGTTATTGTTCTTGTACCCCTGTTGGTCAAAACATGAATGTACTGGGGTCAGTGAAGAACTACATAATGTTTTCTATCAAATATATTAGGGCAAGAGACTGATTCGAAGTCTCAATTAAACTACTAGGACGCAGAAAAATACCATAAACACAAATTAGATTTTCACCAGCTTCCATACAAAGAGACGAAGACTATCCAAGGCGGTGAATGGAGCACCCGCACATATAATATTGGTAATTGTGTAGTCATCAGGTGAATGAAATTATCTTTGTTCACCTTTTTAGCTACCATATCGCGAAAAGCCAACAAGAAAGCCTGTGTAAAGTCACCATTCCTTTCCTTACAAAAGCAGCACAACAAGGACTGATGTTTAAACGTTAGCGTGGCCTTAACTTCGGTAAATAAGCAATTGTTTTGTCTAAGTTTCGAGTAAGTACCCGTTGTCAGAAACATCGTAGGTACAGCTATTTTTGGCATCAGAAGCACTAGACTTTCTTCATTGTCTTGCTTGATATTCTTTAAAACCATGAATAAAATAATGAGATGTGTATCGTTCCTATTTTCTTCGGATTTTCGCCCTTACCTTGCTGGGAGCTATTTATGTCATCGTAGCTCGGGAGTTTATGTGATTACGGCCACTATTATCCCATTAATTATAAAGAATACTTGTAACATTTGACGTCCTCAATTGTTTCGAACAAATCTGTAAGAAATTGAAAATATCTTTACAGAATGCTTGGATATTTCTGATCCTCTTCCAAATAAAACAAAATACAGTAAGACGCTGTCATAGGTCAGGTAGTCTTTTGTAATTTTTGCTTTTGGTTAAGATATATTGCCTTTGTAATTTCCTTTTCTTTTTTGGTTAAGTTATATCGCTGATTTAGTGACAGAAATGTAGCGAAAAAGTACGTGATGCGATTTTCCCCGCAGTGCAACAATTTTCTTTCTATAGAAAAGTTCATTGCATTGGTACGTACGAAAATAAGAGCTGAGTAGTTAGAACAGTTTTGTCTCTGACTCTGATTTTTAAACAGGGATACTGACGTCTCGTATGTTTCGGATTCTACTATTCGCCTTTTTTTCCAAACGAAATCAAAATAACATGGATTTACTTCATCATGGAGGATTAACCCTCTAGAAAAGAATCATAGGACTTATCCTACGGGTAGTCCTAGTCGTTATTAAATTATTTTAGACTTTCACTTTACGTCGACTCAGCATAAATTGGCCAATCCAAACGATAACACCTTACATAAATACATCCAGCAAAACCAAATCTCGAGGTTAATCAAAATTAGCTTTCATATCAATTGTAAATACCCTCTCTATATAGAGCAGAAAAACGCTGTGAAAGGCAGTAGGTACTGACAGAAATTAAACTTTCAGTATCATATATAGTGTTCTCGGAATTTTCTTAAGAAAGAAAATTGAAACTCAACTCACCACGATTAACACAGGACCAGTAAGAATCGATAAAAGATACATGTGTCGTGAACACTCGCCTAAATGCGCACGTAAAGCGGAGAATAACATGATATTGCAAGACCATCAGGAACCAATATATCTTCCGTGCAAGGTTGAGACAATTCACACAAATGTTCTTGACGCGAAATCTTAATTTAGACTATAGAAACTTATTTTTAACTTTATCCGAACAAAGCTATTTACGGCAGGACTGTAAATTCCTAAAATCCATTACTCGTTGAATCAAGTTTCGTGCACTCATCTTCATCTATATAAAACAGGAATTGAACTTTTCGACTCGTATATGCGAAAAAAAAATCATTAAAATGAAACTGAATGATTTGCAAAATTTTGTTTCCAGAGCACCATAGAAATAGGCTAACGCCCACAAGGAGAGGTAGTCCGGGAACGAGACTAGGGAATACATTATGACTTCCGATGAAAAGCCTCCGTAAAATAACCGAAGGTCGTTTGGGTATATCAGAATCTTGTATACCGTCTGATCGTTTAATTGTGACAGTTGTTGTCGGAACAAAAATTCGACGGAAAATATGGCAGTTCAAATATCACGTCGCGCATGTGACGCAAGTTTCTAATAAGTTATAAACAACGTACTGGGAAACTTTCCAGACATTACTTCGCTGGCGAAGAACAGCTAGACTGCATTATAGTAATCTTGTCGCTGTGAGCAGTGAGAGATGTGTTTTAATTCTCGCCGCGAGTTTCGGAAAGCAGCTTGATTCTTTTTTTCTTTCCAAGCACAGTCAATGCCACACAAAAGGACATGACCCAGGAAATGTTATCGATCATTGAGATTAAATTACTAATGGCAGGATAATGGGCTCTGGCCAGTAATGGGCTCCTGCTAGTGACCATAATGAAAGATCAAAGGGAGAAATTTGAATGAGACAAAAATTCCACCCACCGAAGGATCAACAGAAAAAAAAAACTATCCTGTTACATAGATAAAATTCTTCGGCCAACAACAGAAATTATATCTCAAAGATACAACAGACTTCATCAACTTTATAGAAAAAACAAAACTTCCGAAAGAGGTGATATTCGCTTCAATGAGCGAAAGACGTGACACTGATATCTTTCTGAACATTCCTCCTGATAGCTAGCCGCTCAATCCATGAAAACTTTTGATTTTTATGATTTCCTCAAATCATTCACCAAACATAAGCGGGTATGATTTGTCGAGTCAAGCCGTAACTATCCCCATCTTGATATTCGACAGTTACACTATCGATCCAGATCATGTGTTGCCATTTATTTTGCCTTTTGAAACGAATTAAACTCTTAGAGGCAGGAGATCTCTATCATGAACATCCTCGTGTACATTATATGGTAGGCTCTCGAAATATAATTTTTGCAACCTCTTAAACAAATGAAGAGAAAATGGCAAATTGTTTCATGACATGCTCCTCTTTACCAAATTAAAAAAAATTCCCATAATCAGTTCTAGTATGTACAATATGCATTGTTAATGTTGGTATGCGTTTTTGTCATTTGGTAGATTGTTGTGGTGATATGAATACATGAAACTTGCTATCAGATATGTGTTGAGCTGATATCTAGTTATTTCCTCAATTCTTCTGTGCGATTCGAACTGATTTAACTTCAATCCAACCATACCAAGTTACAGTTTTGAATATGTTCCTATGCTGGAGGTGTAGATATGTATCTAAAGAACAATATACGATGCAAAGTCATTGAAAAACCTCTGAAGTGGACCTTCGCAAGTTGTAGTCACCGATAAACCATTTGCACGTTATTACATGGCCATCAGACTTTTGCCAGTGGGTTTTTTTTAGCCATATATTTGAGTAGTCGTGGTCAGGCGGTGTACGTACTCTGATTGAGTTGCTTTATAGTCGAAATAAAAAAAAGTGAGTTATTTGCATCGTGTCGCGTTCGAGTGAACAACTTTCGTGGTAGCGAGGTAATCCTAAAGCGACTACGTCACGTTGTCTTGACAGTGAAAAATGTGTTCTAAACAAACACGCACTTCATTCAAAATGGCTATACCGTCAATCGCGTCCCTGCTATCGTTCTTTTCAGATGAAAATAAATTTATCAAAAAAGAAGAAAATCACTACTAATCTGATCATTTGGAGTCTTTTAAGTAACAACAAAGGAATTTTACACGGAGAAGTGCATGCAAGTCTGGAAAAAAAGGCTTATAAAGTCACGGTAAGCACAAGCAATTTAAGTACAATATTGGACTGTCTAATTTCGAACGACGGCCGATGCATCACCTTGCAACTAAAACTTTTTCCTCCTAAAAAGCGTATTTTCCATTTGAATTATCTTTCATTACGTACTAAACTGCAGATTTACTCGGACGATTAGCAAGAAATAAAAAAAACTGAGCGCGAATGGCCGAGAGAGGCGTTTAACCCTTTAACTCCCATGAGTGACTAAGAGAGAATTTCTCCTTACAATATCAATACAATTTCAACCAGAAAAGTGATGAGAATAAAGAAAAATATAAATTTGGAGACAATTAGTTGATCCGATACTAAATTCTCTGAACTAACTTTACAAGATGTGTATGGTCGACAGAAGGGAGAATTACAAATTTGATGCGGGAGTTAAAGGGTTAAGTGCTGTCACGCGGCCGCCCTTTTCATTCACGGGACCACCCTCTGAGCCGTACAGACGTGGAATGTCGTTGGAAGAAAAGAAAGCCCAACCAATTACTTTCAAATCAGGTGGTCTGTCAATTATTTCCTCTGCCCAAGAGTTACTATGCTTGGTCAAGGAAGCCAACACACGCCAATCGAGCTGCTCTGTATGAGGATCTGAAAAAAGCCCTGAGCCTCCTAAAGTCAGCATACTATTGAGGAAATTCTTCTCTCTGAGGAATTTCTTTGAGCTAGAGGAAACCAACAACAGCTGGACTGTTTGGTTCACAGAACTAAATTAGATGAAGATGGCATTGTTGATCATGAGACTGGAAGTGAATTGACCATACACAGAAAGAAACCTCTCACTTGAAGAGGCTGTTAGGTCAATAGCACTTTGTCTCGAGAGTAGTGAGAGTGGGCTGGGCTATGTACTTAAAAAAGACTATGTCTATTGGCACCAAGTACTGGGGGAGATATACTTGCATAGAAACTTCTGTTTTTTGGTTGTATGGACCACAAAAGATATTGCCATTTTAAAAATTGAAAAAGATGAAGCATGGGCAGCAAACATCCCCTGCTTATGCAATTTTATTATAATCATTTATTTCCAAAAGTTGTGGAAGGGAAATTGTAATTTTCTTGCATGCTTCAAATATTTAGGTAACATTTATTTTAACAAAGTTCAGACAAATGACTGAAAATTTGTTTTGGCCTTTCATTGATTTCCAAATTTTATAGCTGCTCTCATTGAGGATGATGACAAAGTATTTAATAAATAAAAGAAAGCCACATGCCATTGATTTAACAGGGTAATTTAGTAACAATGTAAATTGGCCACCGTAAAGAGTTTATAGGCTGATGTTTGGAGGGTTAGCCCCTCATCAATCACTCTGACAAAGGGCTAACACTTGAAACATCAGCCTTTAGACTCTTAACAGTGGCCAATTGGCAACACTAAATTACCCTGTTATACTCTCCCACTGATGCAGCACCACAGTTTCTTTATTCATTTGCTATTGATTTAGTTATGTTGAAAGGAAACAGTCTTATCTGGAGGATTTTTTGCCTCCTTACCCTAACCCTACGTAGTGTATGGGGAAGCAGTTGTGGTGGAAGGATAAATGTGTTTCAATGCCAGATATTCTTAACTTAAAATTTATCATCAATGTTATTTTTGACCTTAATGGGTAATATCACATTCAGTAATATAAAATGAACCAAACTATTCAAAAACCTTATCTTCACACCTCTCCATGACTATTGGAAATTGTAACCTAACAAGAGCAGCACTCAGCTTCAAAAGAATATCAGAGTAACAACAAAGGTAGGAGGGGATGAAGGTTAAGATTCTGAAGTCTTTTAGCCATGCATGTGCTCTTTCTACATGTATGTGGCACCTCGCCATTCCCTTTGTAGCTTTGGCCTCACTCTCTGTGAAAGCCCCTTTGTTTAGAAAAGGTGGGATTTTAACTGAAACTCCATGAGGCACAATGTCCTGAATAAGAAACCCTTTGTCCACTAGAATCATATCCCGGGAGTTAAGTGATTGAGGAGGCCTGACTCCTGTATAATGGCTTTATTGGCAAATGAAACATGTATAACTTGCTTACATGGGTTATTTCAGCATTGGGTGCAACACCAATAATGACTTTGAATGAATTCATTCCTCTGTAAGAAGAGTGTGTTGCACTTTGCTGACTCATCAGCACAGGTGCTGCAAACTTGATATCAGTGCAGTCTATCACTATATGACAAGATCCAAATTGGCAGAAAGAGGATAGTGCAGCTAGGTTGTTTCTTGTGTGGGAAAAGATGTCATTATGTCATGAAAGAAAATGCTATGCAATACATGAATGAAAGTTGTGATGATGTGGCGAATTGTAGCAACACTACAATTAAACAGTTGAACCAAGTGAAGGTCTGTGTCGTTTTTCCTGACCTTCATTAGGGCAATAAATATCTGGTCCTCAAAAATGACTGATTCAACCTTCCAGCCCCTGAAATAATTGATGGAATCTTTAAAGTTAGAATCATGTCTTACAACAATTTTGAAGACTTCCTTTGTTGGAAGGCCAGTTTCCATTATAATACCATTCTCAGGCAGTTCTGATACAGTGTAACACTTGCTCTTATATTTGACTCTTTCCTGGAGATCCTGAACACTTCTTTTGGCTAAGTCCAGTTCTGCGTCCAGGATAACCCCCTGTGATGTTTTTTTCCTTATTTACTTTTCCCTTTTGGAGAGATACTGGCTAACTTCTTCGAGCATCTTCCACTAACTCAGCACTAGTCTTCTCCTTAAGCATTTCTTCCTTTTCTTCTTAGGAGATCCCCTTTGCTCGGAAAATAATATTATTTGTCTTTGTTTCATTCAAATATCTCTGGGCCATTCGACTTTTTACCATCTCTAAAATGGCAGCCACACACTCTGGAGTGCTTGCCGGACCCTTTATCTCTTCTCCTACACAGGGGACGTAGGAATTCACCGCCTCTAAAATTTCTGCTCACGCATGGTGAAAACAAATGTATGCTGTCACTGTAACAGTTCTATTCAGGCTCAATTCCGGTTCACAATACAGGGTAATGAAAATGAAAAAAAAAAAAAAAAAAAAACCCATAATACAGAGTACAAAAGCAATCATAAATCAACGATACACACCACATGCAACTGCTCGCATGCGACGATCGTAAATTTCCGCGAGATTTCGAGTGGATGAAAATAGAGCATCCGCTCAAAATTGCTGTATTTTACGTTGTTTTCAGAAAGAGAGATTTTCGATAAATACTGTCACTAACCTTATCGGAGAGATCCATCGTTTGTACTTGTCTTTTGCCTTTACGGCGCTTTGAAAAGGGAAGAACTTGCATGTATGGCTCTCCGTTGAATGGTTGTATGTCGGGGCACAGAAGTACACCATTTTAGCGCGTAAAGTGCTTTCTTTTTTAACAAAGGCGACCACGTTGAAGAAGTAATAGACCTTTTACCCTCTCTAAGCCTTCGAAACTTCTCTTGTTGCAAAACACGGGGTCAATAAGGTCTTTTGAACTCATCACAATGGCTACGTGACCCACGCGCAAGAGGTAGTCCGTGATACAATTAATGAATGGTCCCGAGGGAAACAGTTAGTTTTGTTTTCCCAAGAGTCCGGATGAATGTAAACAAAATAAAGAAAATAAACAAACAAGGACGGCAAAACTTCTTTATTCACAATCGTGAATAAAGAATCGTGAGCACTTGCTGAAGATCACGCAATTTTTTAAGTTAGACATGATTGATCACTTGATGTTGTCTAACGACTAAATACAGGAATGGCTCCGACCTGTGATTGGATGATAAAAAATAGTAAAAGTTAATAAGTTATATCTTAACTCCTTGCTCGTGAGTATTGTGAACCGCGTGTCTCGAAGCGGAACAATGAAATATCAATGTGAAAACACCGATGAGTCAAACAAGAAATGGCCTACTTACATAATGAAGAGAAGGCAGAGTCCATCTTGTTCAGCGAGGTCGTTCAGCGATATTCCGACGATGAAAAAGTCATCCGCTGACAAGCTCCGCTGACAGAACTCATTTAGTCAGTTTAGGCGGACGACCAGAGACTGGAGCCATTCGTGTATTTCACCGCAGACAGGAATGGCTCCAGCTCATGCGTATACTAATTTTTTTTTTTTCGTTCTGGCTAAATAATTTATACACTGAGATAAAAACTGAAAGAGCGATGAATATAAAATAATCACGCAATGTTGCGTGACGCTGCGACCAATGTTTTAAATTTATAGTATGCTCTGCTGGAAAAATATGGCTTAGCCGCAATCGAGGGAGTTTTTTTCGTGGAAAACTGATTTTCTAGGTTGTTGTTCACATGAAGGACAAATCCATTCATCGGGCACTTCATCTGTTTTTGCACAACACCTAAAGGAAGAAAGTCGCGGATTAATTTTGCTTGGTAATTTCTAACAACTCCACTAGACCTAAAAAAGGAGAAAACAAAACAAACCAAAAACACGGTGGCAATAGCTCTCGCACTGAATCATGACGAAGTACTGTTTGCCGTGATGGTACAACCAATCTTCGAACAGCTTTCGGCAATAACAAGAAAGAGTAAAATGATTTTGTGAAACTTGTTCTAAAATTAATGAGGGCTGTTCATCACATGACGCTGTATTGAAACGAATATATCTCGTTTGCTATTGTATCACACTACTGTTTTAGATAAGGCATTTATACCACTTAAATTTAAGAAAGAATGAGTATAACATTAACCACATCCTAACCTAATTTGCCAACTGCTTTCCAGGCATCATCTGTAAAAAACCGCTTCAATTTTTCAAATTTGAAAATTTTGGCTAAAACAGTGGCTCCCAAAAGTATTTCTCACCTCGCCTAAAAATTTTCAAAAGAAAATTTCAAAATTTTCACAACTTTGCCTATTCCCGCTCATAGGGCAAGCCAAGGCTTTATGGTCCTTGGCCCCCGCAATAGCCGCTAACAGTGGCTTATAAATATAGACGTTTAGTGTTAACATGTAAAACTCCTTGAAGAAGTTTACGACAGTTAGAGGAAACGCTTCAGAGAATAAAGAAGTTTTACAACTACTGTTTGCACAGTGCTGCTCACTAGTTTAAAAAATAATTAAAAAATTATTGAAAAAAAAATTAAACATTTGAGTCGGAGCTATTCCTGTCAGCGGTGAAATACAGGAATGGGTCCAGTCTCTGGTCGTCCGCCTGAACTGACTAAACGAGTTTTGTCAGCGGAGCTAGTCAGCAGATGACTTTTTCATCGCTGAACGAACTCGCCGAACAAGAAAGGCTGCCTTTCCTTCGCTACGTAAGTAACCATTTCTTGTTTGACACATCTGTGTTTTCACTCGCGTTGATATTTCATTGTTCTGCTTTGAGACACGCGGTTAACAATACTCACGAGCAAGGAGTTAAGATATAACTTATTAACTTTTACTATTTTATCATCCAATCACAGGTCGGAGCCATTCCTGTATTTAGTCGCTTGTTTGATGTTGTTTTCGACGCGCGTGTAACAACTGCGCCGGGATATATTCGATTTGATCAGGGGCACGTCACCAAGCATCAACCAATCATAGTGCTTGTTTTGTTGATCGAAAGTCTATGTGCATAACTTGTTTACATTGTAATAGGCCTTTTGCAGCAATCGGATTCACTGTCTGTTGCCGTTCCTTCGAAAGTTAAAAAGTGTTTGCGGGTTTATGCGACTCCTGTCACTCCTCCGAGACGAATTCGCTCACAGGAAGCACCTGACGAGATCCAGAAAGAATCGAAACTGCACCCTTGCGTAAGAATTCACACAGATGGCGGCAGTTACAATCACGGCCTGCATTGTGGCATGAAATTTTCATGGCGCATTTCTCGGAACATTTTATAAACTCTTATAAAGCACGCTCTTTCAACCAATGACAGCGCGCGTTATATCAGAACTTTATTATAAATTTATTTAATTATTTTTATATGTATTTATCTCATTAGTGAAGAAAGCAATTTTATGATAGAGTTTGCCAGAGTGTTTAAAGTTTAAAACCATTGAACGGATGTTGTTTCAGGCACAAACACATGAAATTTTGAATTTAAGGAAATCTCAGCTTTTCAGGTCAGGAAATAAATGATTAGTGCCTCACTCACAGAAACGTCTGCATTCTTGTACCATTTTTTAGAATTTTATACAAATTTTATACAAAACTCCTTAAACCAGCTCTGATATTGTCCAGGGAATCTTTTTTTCTCACGATAAATCTCGGAAATCGCTGCAAAACCAAGAGAATATATTCTCTTGGAAAAAACGAATTGCGAAAGCAAAAAACAGGAACACCAGATGTCATTTCTCCCAGACCTCTAAACTTGTTTGGTTGCCATGGATTCCATACATCTTCCACGAAAATCTACGAAATACAATTCTATTATTCAGATTTACATGTAGTCAATTGTTATGAATAAAAGTACATTCAATACAGATTTATTGATTTTCGATGTAATCTTTTGGTTTATTGTCGACATAATTCACTGTTAAGCTTAGTCTGCCATGCTTTTCTTCTGGAGAAGATCTGGTTTGAAGCGCCTTTACTGCTGTACATTCCGCTTGATACTGGTTGCCTCAATTTGTCTTTCAATCGGCGTTTTCGTCTTTAATATTCTGCTCGTAAATCAACGTCCAAGCGTTGTGGAAAAGGATGAAGTGTCACGCGACACACATTTGTTGTTAGTGAAATCTCACATATATTTTATTTCATTTCGCCAAAAGCCAGTTTAATTTAGTTATCCCTCCTTTCTTTCAGAAACCGAAGCCAACTTTCACGAAAACGATTTAAATAATTGCCTCATTATATTTCGCGTTGAGCACAATTGATTGCAAATCGCGCAAAGATATATTTTTCGAGTGTCTGAGGTTTGCCAGTTTCAATACCTGAGGTTTCGTGACACCCTTAACAAGGATAAATAATTATTCGGTTCTAAGTGGGAATTTTTTTTACCGAAGTCCAACTCGAAGTCCAACTTTAACTCAATTGAATCTAACCTCTGGGGTTCGCTCTTCCTCGCATTTGACAAATAGTTCGCGCAGATCCTGACAGTTTTAATGCAATATATAAAGAAAAAAATTGACAAATTATAACCTTATGTACTCGTATGTATCCGAATATCACTCGTATGTAGCCGTATTTACTCGTATATCACTCGCATATGGTGGTGTGTACTTGTTTGTTACTCCTGGTACTCATATTGGGTCTTTGGCAAATTGCACGTGATCGGTGGCGTGATCAGTTTCTAATATGTCAACAAAGCCAGCGGTAATAGCAACTGATCGATGCAGGCTGCAACAGATAGAAAAGCACATGTTTATAAACTTCAGAAGCTAAAGATAGAGAGGGAAAACTGAAGCAAACAACTGGATTAAGGAATCACTTCATTTTGCTGTTCAGAGGTAAGCTTCAACGCGATTTATTTGTGAGGCGTTTGTCGTAAACGTTGAGCTCGGCCGTCGAGTATTCATTTAGTCACTGACGTGGGATAAGGGAAAATCCTAAATCCTCGATCGCGAGCAATCGAAAACCAGACATTCGGCTCCCAGTCGCGTTCCGGAGCTTTGCCACAAAGCATCTACGTAGTTGTTTGGTAGTACGGAGCGACAGAGGAATTCGCAGCTGAGGTGCGCCCTTACACGGTTGACAAGCGAAAGGCGCTGAGTTTTCGAGAGTATTCGTCAAATAAGTGATTTTTCCCGTTTGCATTGCTTTCCACGAAGCCAATGTTTCTTTACGATACATTTTCAATTTCAGTCGCCATCCTCGCGAAGGGTCTATTGGCGTTAATGGATAGCACGACTAGGAAATAAACTTCAAATAAACATCGATGATTTACTAACTCGAGCCAACCGCTTTTCTAACCGGTGTCCTTATGGCGTAACATACCGTTCAAAATTCAGTCTGTATGGCGTAACATACCGTTCAAAATTCAGTCTGGGTATTTTCCCTATCGAAAAATTAATTTTCGTGTCGGAAATCAATTAACAGGGTCCGTTATTGTTGGCCTCTTTCAGACCTCCTCATTGTCTGCTATTTCCCGTGTCTGATATTATTTTCCGAGCCTGATATTATTTCCCATGTCTGTATTTACTATCTAAATGGATTTCGACTTATCACCGTGCTTTATATTAATGCTCGAGTCCTTAAATTATTCGTTACAATCGTCGGATTTGGAGCTCCCTAGATTTGAATCCCCCGGTCCAAATCCGCTAAATTCAAAACATGCGTAGGAATGTTATCCGGCTGGTTCTCAGCATTCGTCACAACTTAGGATTTTCGTTAACCCGAGCGAAAGCGCTAAACTCTGGAATAAAAACGAACTGTGAAATTTGATAACGTTTGATTTTTGTTATTCTCTTGAAAAAGGTGTGAACAATGAAATGATAGATATGCTAACAGAAAGTTTGAAACGCGTGAAAGCTTTCATCATTTCCACTTCAGTGGAACCCCGATTGCACGGGTCCTCGATTTATCGTAACTCCATAACTCGAACCAAAAGTCGCGTTCCCCTTCTCCTTGTCAACCCACTTACTCCAACTGATTTTCATTTCCCATGAGGGCTCGCAAAATCGGGAATCCACTGTTCGTGTTCCACAACGAAATTCTGTTGCTCCACCCTCTACTCAGTGTTGCATTGAGAATTTTTTTATCGTTCGTAGCCGATTACGCACTGAAATTCACACTCGGTTGTGTCTGTGTTACTTGAAATACACTTTATAATTCAATATAAATACGAGTTGTTGATTGTAAAGATAATCTAAGGTAAGAAAGGTTATTACTACACAAGGCTTTAATTTTTCTGAAGTCGCCTTTTTAGCGATCTAAAATATTGTAACGGTCGCTGTGTTGCATACGTCAAATAAATAAATAAAGAACAAAGAAAAATGCAAATTGCGGCGCATTTTACCGCTGAATACACCTTTGTTCATCGAATTAAGCTTTATTGTGATTAGGCTACAGCTGTTAAACGTCAGCGCTTTTGGGAACACTGTTCTGGCTGAGGAAGTGTGCTTTCAATTAATTAGGACCAAATTGAACAACCACACAAGCCAGCAATTCATTTTTTTTTAAATCGTCTGAATTGTTTTTGATAAAAATGTCACCTGCATCAACCAAAACATTGTCTAAAACACGTTTAACGATCTTCTAGCTAAACAAGAATTTCCGGCCACTGCAAAAAATCTTGCCATCACTACTCCTAGAACTTCGCGTATTTACTTTTTACCTCACATCCACAAACCTAACAACCCAGGGCGACCCATCGTCTCTGAATATTAAATCTCTTTATACTGTCATTTTTTTGATCAACTTTCTGCTAAGGAATCTAGCTCTGAAACACTACTCCGTCTAGCCGAACTAGTCCTAACACTCAATTTCTCTTCATTCGGTGGCAACCATTACAAGCAAAATAATGGTGTAGCCATAGACACCAGAATGGACCCAGCTACGCCAATCTTTTCGTTGGTTTTTTAACGAACTCTAATTTTTCCGTCAATACAACGGTCCCAAACCTGAATTCTACGATAGTTACATTGACGGCAGTATCGGCGCTACCTCCTGCACCAGAGAGGAGCTGACTCAATTTGTAACCGCTCTTAAGTCCTTACACCCGGCTCTGAAATATACTTGGAAATTTTCCGACACTTCTTTGGGTTTCTAGACATGAAAAATTTCAGTTGAATGCAACGGGTCTATACAGAAGTGTTTGCTACAAACCCACAGACTCACATAGTTACTGGTTGTATTCATCTTCGCATTCATCACCAGTGCTTTCAATAAGATTTGAAGTAGGTAATATGAAAAACAATTTCGATCTCGTTAGCCCATTAGTTCCATTAGAGTAAAATTAGTTTCCATTGGAGTAAAGTTGCCTCAAACAGAGTTTTCTGTGGCGAACTTTGGTAGATGGTCATTTAATGTTAGTCTCCTCCTTTGTAACATTTGTTTAGCTGATTGTTTATTTCTGTTCAAAATCTTCCATTTGCTGACTTGCAAACCTACTGCCTGAGTTTCATACAAAAAGTCCTCTGAGAGGACATGTGGTTACTGGTTACTTCGGAAATTTTTAGTCAGTATGTTCTCTTACACTCAAAATCTTATTTTTCCTGGAAGTTTGGTTCACGATATGATAAGACAATACCAATAGTTTTTTACTCAAAACTTTTTATAGAGATAAAAGTCGCCTGAAAGACATCTAAACGACCTCCAGGTATTTGAGGTCTTACTTCAGCTTCCAGAAAGTCACAGAAAAATCCAGAATGGTGTTAACCATCCAACATCGCATAATACTAAACACTTTCAACAGGCAGTCAACAAAAGCAAAATCAGATAATATGCTGTGTGCATCAAATTTCCGTCTACATATGTTCTCAAATTTTGAGGCTACGATCCAAATCTTTGTTCGCCTGATCTTTGTTTAAAGAGGTTTCTTCTGCTTGCCGTTGGAAACAAACCTCTCAGTCTCCTGCTTCGAACGCTGAATGCATTTTTTGTGATTGCAGGTTTTTGTTTATTTTTGTTTTGTTTTGTTTTTTGTTGTATTGTGTTTTTTTCTTTTTTTGTTACTGGGTGAAATTAAAGATTTGCGGCAGTGAATTCCACCAGTTCTATTTCCTGGGAAAACCTCAGGATTATTCCTTTCTGCAGAATTGTTCATTTAATTTTTACATAAGATAATTGAATTAAATCAATCAGCCAATGACTTTAGTTGTTCCTACGACTCGTGTTTCATATCGGATCGTAAACAATAGTCGTGTTAGCGTAGAACAAGGTCTTCTTCGATTTTTCAGCAAATGCAGGTTTTTTTTTTATAAAAGTTTAGACGCTTAGTGTTTAATAGCCTTTTTGTAGTTCTCTACACAGCCAAGCCTAGGTTAAGCGTCTTTAGGCAAGGTCAACATCTTTGCAAAAATATTTCAAATTTGATTTACGTGTGCTATCAACAAGCGAGCTGTTTTCACTAATTCTGATTTTCAAGTTTGTTTTCTAACTAGCAGTTGAGAAGAACTGTTGTTGTTTTATTTATCTAAAAGTATTTAACGATTTTAGTTCAGCACAAATTTGTTTGAAAATTATTTAGGTAACCGACGATGAGCACTTCAACTTCGAGCGTGATTAACTTTTATAGAGCAAAGTATACCCGGCGATTCACAACAGAATACCCGCCGAAGCTCCGGCGGGTGCCGGGTGTTATTGAAAGCACTGTCTTTAAAAACTTTAATAACTTCAAAGTGATTCAGAGATAAGTACTATCTTTGCGCAATCTCTACCAATCTCATTCAAATGCGACAAAAACAAGGCAAACTTTTTGGGTAGAAGTTCATCTCAAACTAATGACCAACCTGGAACTTTCAAATGCGCTCGCTCGCGATGCAAAACCCCTCATTTCATTCATAATAGAGAAAATGTCCGGACCTAAGAGATCCACTAAGATTACTGATCACTTTAAGTGCACCTCCGATGATGTCATCTATTTGCATAACTTGGCATGCACTTATTTCATAAAGTTATACATTGGTGAAACAGGAAGACGACTTGGTGACCGATTCCGAGAACTCCTTCGCGACTTAGATAGAAATGACAAGGACGCATCCAAACCAGTCGCTAAAAAGTCTTCAGTTTTCCTTATCTCCACTTTTCTTTCCTTCCAGATTTCGATCAAATTTCATTGTTTTGCATATGTTTTGCATGGCAGCGGTTGTTTCTTAATTTTCCTCTGTAGTTTTTACGAGCAGGAAAATTGGCGCGCGGCCGGCCAAAATTTGGCCCCTCCTCACATGCCCATTATTAACCATTTAGCTCCCAAGATCTGATTGTTTATTCTCCCCTCTAGCTGCTACACATTTCCTTGTAAATAAGTTACAAGAATTTGATGTTAGATCGAGATAACAACTTCTACTTGATACATTTGAGTATTCTCATTACCTGTTTGTTGGGGAGTGAATGGATATTGCAGGGAGAAGTTACTTGTTAATCACTTCTGGGAGTTAAAGGGTTAAACGTCAGGTTTGGACACAGCCGAAAAATGAGTGCGCATGCACGGTGGATATGGCGCTTTCGGGGAGCGTTTTCTGACTCCATGGTGAATGAATTTCATCGAGGAACGAACAGAACATTATGGTATAATTTTTTGGACTGTTATTGATGTGAATCGAGGGCAAAATTTAATGGAGTTTGTCCGTATGGAAAGGTCTTAAGGGTAAGCGACATTTTTTATTTATAGTTTATTGCAAGCTGTTTTAAATGTATCCAGACAGCTATAGCGATAGCAGTCGTTACGAATCTCTCAGCCATATTACAGGTGCTCAGCTTTAGTCCTTAAGTTCACATCTGTTACTGCAGCATACCAACTAGACATTACAAAGCTCGCACCTGCGCAGACGTTGATCACTGTGTTAAGAAAATCCATGACATTAGCGTTCGTCATGAGGGAAAAAAGACCTCCATATATTCATCCTGTAACCCTTTCCAAATCCATTCGCCTTATCGTGTAAATCTTTTTATGGACAGGTAATCACCAAACCTTTATTGGCGTCAACAATGGCGAAGAAATCCTCTGGCTCAAAGGTTCTGTTTTTTGTCGTCATTGCAGGGATAGTTTTTTTATGGCAATTCGAAAGAAATTATTCTACACTTAAAGTTACTTTAACGCTCCCAAGGTATGGTAACATAAACCGAGAAATGAGGAACTCCAACACAACAGAACCATGCTTAATTCTTTACTGGTCGACTATTTTCGGAAGTCAGCCACACATTGAGAAGAGATGGAACGACAATGATTGCCCAGTGGCCTGTCAGGTCACATCTAACCGTTCTCGAGCCAGAGAGGCAGACGGGTTCGTTGTTCATGCCCGGGATTCACACATGACACCTCCGAAGGAATCTGTTCCATGGATCCTTCACACACAAGAAAACCCGGTGTACACTCCCGTAATGAAAAACGCAAAGTTTATGTCCAGATTTAATCTGTTAATGAGTTACCGGTTAGACTACGATTTCCCCGTCCCAGTTTACCCCATGCCTCAATTAACACCACCACTTACATTTAAGGAAAAAACTAAGCTGATAATGGCAGCATTTTCAAACTGTGAGCCTGTGCGGACGGAATACATGAGACAATTAATGAAGTTTGTGCAGGTCGATTCTTATGGAGCTTGTCTCAGGAATAAGAATGATCTAGTGGGCCGTTATGGATCCAAGAACGGGAAAAATTTCAAAGAGTTGAAGAGTGAATTAGCGAAACAATACAAGTTTACACTAGTATTTTTTAACCAGGACTGTGAATACTTTGTCGATGATCAACTAAGCCATGCGCTGAATGCAGGCTCAGTTCCTGTGGTAATGAGTACAGATAAACTCGACGAGTTCCTGCCGGGCAATCTTCGACAATCCGTCATTAAAGTCCGTGATTTCAGAACTCCAAAAGATCTCTCAGATTATCTTAAGTACCTGAGCACAAATGAGACAGAGTATAACAATTATTTGACGTGGAAGTCGAAAGGAGTAGGAAATATCACGGGAACCGTTATTGGAAATTGCTGGAAACCAAAGTATCCTATTTATTGCCAGATCTGTGTGGCGCTTTCAGAAGGGCGAATACACAAGGAAGGACTGAGGCCAATCCCGTGTAATGCGAGAACGTACGAAGACTGGGGTATCAAAAAAGGGGCCTAATTTTCCTTTTTCGTCATCATCACGACTAGCAAAATCTTCGTTATTGTTTAAAAATATTTACATCGTTAACTAGTTTTATTTACCCTTTAACTCCCAAGATCTGATTGTTAATTCTCCCCTCCAGCTGCTAGACATTTCCTTGTTAATAAGTTGCGAGAATTTGGTGTTAGATCAAGATAACAACTTTTACCTGATAACTTAAAGTATTCTCATTTCTCTTCTGCTGGATGACCAAGGTTATTATAGGGAGAATTTACATGTTAATCACCTCTGGGAGTTAAAGGGTTGTTTTAAAATTTCTAGTTTTTAGGCCATGTTTCCAAATTTTTGACTTAATTGTGAAAACATTGGACAATTTTAGGAAACCTGAGAGTTGTACCATTTAGCTCTCCTGAATTGGTTTTGCTCGTGCAAGTTCTCCCCATGAAATCATAAATACTCAAACTTATCACATAGAAGTTGTTACTTTGATCCGACTCCAAATTCTCGTTAGTGATTTACAAGGAAATGTGTAGCAGCTAGAGGGCAGAATTCAAAATAAAATCTTGGGAGTTAACGTGTTAAAGCAATCATTTTGTGTTTGCACTTTCTGTGACAAAAGTACTTACAGAAATGATGCAGCCTTTAGTGAGTGATGCAGGGATGTTCAACTATGTTTGCTATATTTCTGCATTTGTTGTCGTCGTTTTAACTAATAAACAGCCTTTGAAAAATGAATAAACATTTTTATTTGCATCGTTAAGTGTTTAAAATTCTGTCCGTCTCCAAAAAGTTTCTTAAAATGGTGGGTGGTTAGGCCTGTTCAATCTGTCTGTTAAGAATTCACCTCCGCACTTGATTGAAAATGACAGGGTGAGATTTAAGATAAAAAAGACTCAAACCCTCATTTTAAAACAAAAAGTAAAAACAGGAGCCAAGAACAAAACTAAAAACAAAAGCCATGATTATGCCTTAGCCTTAATTAAAAAATCGTAAGGATTTTTTTCCTATGAAGGGGACTATTATGGGCAGAACATACCCTAGCTCGCGCTCGCCGATTGCTTATTAAAACCGTAAAGCCGAGAGAACTAAAATTCTATATAATACCTACTCAGTGGTGGATTCATGAGTGGGTATTATTACTGCCCGGCTATAAATTCTCCTGGTGACAGGATCGCACGTACATCACTATCAACTGGGGGTATTTTATATGTCCTTGTTTTGGAATACTTTGAAATTCAGTTATCTAGTGTGATATTAATGTGTGATTTCTGAATCAAATTTTAGACCCTCCCCTCTTTCAAAAATTCCTGGATCATATTTAAGCCTTCCCAACTCGGCTTTAGCACTCAGATTCTCCACACTGTTTTCTCTTTACATTTTCTTTGATACTAACAAGGAGAATTGTTTTAGACAATCAGGAATTTCATAATATGGTGATCATTTCCTTTATTCTCCTAACCTTTACATTTGATTCAAGAGGGATATTGTAAGGAGAAGTAAAAAGCCAGATACTCTTAATTTTTAAGGGTGAAAAGATTAAGGTTATGATTTTCACTAATCTGCACGAACTTATTCCAAGCTGAAAATGCAAAGAATTCCATTCTCTCAGCGACCATAGCCCATTTCAATTTAAAATTAAAGTTACTCTGGATGTTGTCAACACACGAACCAAGCAATTACGAAAGCGCAATAACTCTTTTTCAAAGTATGATTGCAACAACAAAAAAAAGGATTATTTTATGATCGTGGTTTTATTTGCCTTTCGCAGGTACCAAGTATACTCGAATTCAGACGAGGTACAAATTGCATCAACTGGTTGTCATTTTTTTCTATGACAGCTGTCACATTAAACGCATGTTGTTTGTCGTCGTTATTAAAAGTATGCCTTGTTTCCGTCTTTCTTTGCACGCTCATTTTATAATCTATTGAAACAGACTGTCTTTTGCTCTCCAATTGAGGACGATTTGCTCTCTATGCTTTTAAAGGAACGGTTGCTTAATTTCCCATGTGGCGGGTCAAAAGTTGAAACAATTAAAAACAGCTTTTATTGCCACCAACTACCAATTTTCATGTCAGGTTACTCCCTAGTTATGAGTGTTCCATCTTTGCATGGAAGACTCTAGTTAAAGCTTTTCCATGTTACCATCAGCAGCCTTGGCGAATGACAGAAATTCTATAGCGGTGATAAAAAAAAAGAAGAGAGAAGAGCAAAAAAGGATCATGCTGTATAACTCTCGTGAGGATTGTTAAAAAGCATTCGCGCGTCGACTCCATTCTCACCTGCCTGGCTGGATAAACATCTTATTCAGAACTCGTTGAAAAAAAACCTCTAGAAGATAATAGAGGATCACCTCATTTTTCGAAAAGTGTAAATAAAATTAACATCTACTCGCTTAATCCCATGGTTGGTCGATACTAAACTATGCAAATCCCTGACCATAAGTTACTGCAATTGAATCCTTAAAGATGCTTATAGCAGCTGTTGAAGACAACCATCTTCTTCGACAGTGGCCTCCAACTTCTTTAGAATTAAAGTTATTCGACCGTCAGCTATATCATCTGAGAACAAAGAAAAAACCCTAAAGATTCGATATGTCCAAAAAATTGTGTTACGTTCAAAAGAAACATGGAGAAACTTTGTACACGACCATTTTACGATCTCTAGATTTGAGTCCATTTCCAGCTATCTTTGAATTAAGCAAATGCATTTTCAGTCAGGGGCAAAAGCTACAATCTTGGGAATTTAAAAAGGATGTCTGTTAACAAGAGCAGGTTGCAGACGTAAAATGTTCCTCCGGCCAGAGTTTTTATCAATATTAGTTTTGAAATAGCGAGATTTCTTGGTAGTCATTACGTAGGGCTTTTCGACTGAGAGGCTACTCGCAAAGAGATCGTTCGTCACGAGGTTTTCCATTACAAAACGTTGTAACTGTTATTTTAAAACCAAGGAAAACTAGCATCAAAGCTAATTTGCACCAAAACCGGTAGCTTGAGTCGACGACGTCTCGGGGTTCGCTTGTTGAAAGGTAAAATTGTCCATGGTCCTCACAACAATTATTTCAGACTCGACTATATTGGTGCCGCAAGACAGCGCCATTTTTAACGACCTCCTATATTTCTTAAGTCTCCAGGCATAGATGAACGCGTCTAAAGCCACCTTCACAAACATCATCTCGTCACCAATTGTGATTACAGCGAACAAGTCAAGCCACTCTTGTCGAGTTTCGATTTTTGTGTAGAATCTGATATGGAGTGTAATGATATGAGGAAGAGCGCACACTATAAGTATTCCTGCCAGAAATAAAGTCACGATGGTAAACTGCCTCTCGCTTATCCTGTTTGTTTGCGGCTTGTTCCCGCGCCCACGGATGGTTCGTTGTTCGATGCTGTTCCCTCCTGCGAGTCGACGAGACGTTTTAGCAAATTGGCGAAATGACCTCAAGAGCATCGCTGAACCGACGATAAGGAGGATTGTTATAAGCGTGGAGTGGAGGTGAAGGTCGACTTGAAAAAGGGTCAGTTGTGGCGATACAACGAATTGAAGCAGAATAAAACCTGTGAAGTACCCAACACAGGAGACAACACATGCGAGGACCCGACGTGTTGTGACGATTGAACGATAGAGATGCGGGTATGTTATCGCAAGATACTGCGTGGAAATGAGACCCAGGACTAGTAGAAATGACGCGTTTAGCCCAACATACGACAGCCAGATTCCAATTTCTCGCAACGTGTAGTACGGTTCTCCTATGATAAGGGACCATGTTGAATAACGTACAAAGCGATAGAGGACGAAAAAAGGCTCGACCAACAGGCCTGTCGTAAGGTCGACAACAGCCAAAGCGACGATAAAGTAGGTAGCTGGCGTACGAAAGCACCTTAGAGGATCTTTGAAGATAGTGAGCAGAAGCAAAGCGTTACTTACGATTGTTAAGGGTGAAAGGATCGCCAAACAGATACCAGTAGCAAGCTGTGTATAAAAGAAGAAATTCAAGTCCACTGCGAATGACGAGTTGGACATGGCGCTGTTACTTGTGATGTCAGAAGATCAAGTATTTTTTCTGCGTCAGAGTGAACAGCAATGCCTGTACCGTTGGAGGCCCTCAGCTCTCGATTTTTATCACACACTCTGAAAGGAACCCTTTCAAATTGCCTATTGATACCAGCTAATGGATACTACAGCGGTTTTGTTCGAAATGTTTCAAGTCTCGTTTGTGCTGCTGTCAATCATTCGATTGACGGAAATAATGCCAAAGCTAACATCAGGTGCACCTTTGTTTGAAATGTCAGGCATGCTAGAAGATCAAACGTCAGAGCAATTCTCTTAGAATCAGTCAGTTCGTAGGTAAGTAATTTAGTGTTAACAACTTAGTTGAAAACGTCAATTGGCCACCGTAACAAGTAAAAAAAAGCTGGCGTTTCGAGCGTTCGCCCTTAGTCAGAGCGACTGACGAAGGACGAACTTTACGAACGACCCGCTTTATTCATTTGTCAGTTCGTAGGAAACTTTACCTTTAATTTCCTCAGTAGAGAGGGACATTTTGACTCAGATCTCTTTACTTTATTTGGTTTTTAACACAAAGTTTACACACAAACTGCTGCATATGACATCAACTTATGATGTGATCACCACCCAAATGTGTCATTTACTGTTCGCAGGTGCTATACCGTTTCAAGGAATATATATTACTTCATTTCGGCAACCCCTTCCATCACACTTTAGGAAAAAAGCTAAAACGATTATTGATCCATTTTTGTCTTATTGATTATCATTTCGGCTCCTTTGATCGAATGGGAAAATTTCCTCTTACAGAAAACCTATTACAATGTACAGTGATTATTCAAGTTTAAGTCTAAGTCGATCAGATAAGGATTCAAAGTATCTTCCATTTTCAAAAGGACGGTCAGAACGGTAACACGACCGAGAAAGACGTCGATTAAAAAATGAATCTATATTTTTAGTTCGAATTTGGTGAATGGCTGGATATTTTTACCGTCTCTAACGGCGCCACACTCCAAGTTCAGCATAGAGTATGTGATCAGCGTTGAGTTCCAAATCAGTGGAAACTTAGTTAATTTGCTTTCGGGGTTTCCGTTCTCAGACTACAGAAACTTTTGGTGATTTCACGTTGTTTTGCAGAGGACGGCTAAGAAATGTATTGAGTTTTAAAACGCACGTGCTGAGCTTTTGTTCTGCCAATTAGATCCTTGCTTTTTGCCACCTACTCTTGGCTGTTGCTGTCAGAGTTTGCTCAATGTTAGTGATTTAACCCTTTAACTCCCAGATCAAGTTTGTAATTCTCCTTACTGTCAACCATACAATTCTTATAGTTCAGAGAATTTAATGTTGAATCAGCTAATTATCCCCAAATTGATATTTTTCTTCATTCTCATCACTAACCTGGCTGATATTGTAAGGAGAAATTTGTCTTGGTCACTTATGGAAGTTAAAGGGTTTAGGCGGGTGTACGTTCGATGAAGCAACTGATATAGAGCAACTTTCTTAACTACAGATTCTACTTGTGATTTCGTTCGATTTCTTTTCAAAAACTCTTTTCCCAAAATTTGAGTTGCCAAACTCGGGGTGTGTTGAAGTCCTAAATGTAATAACTGTCCTAAATGTAATAAAGTCCTAAATGTAATAACATTTGGTCCTAAATGTAATAAATCCCTAAATGTAATAACGTTCGGTCCTAAATGTAATAAGCCTCCTATGCAATCGTTTAACTGCGCTAACATTGAGATGTTAAAGTGACAGCTGTTGCACCAAAGAATCCTCTGACCAATATTTATGGGATATTGCGGGCTCACTGATATTAATCAGCGGCTTTTTATTTGTTAAAGACGTAGGTTGAGAAGCATTGGCTACAAAACCTTATTCTAATACTGATGTGCTTTTGGCATCAAATTGACGGACGCAGAAGCAACGAGAACGTTGATTAATAGCTCTCTCTATATCATTGGCTCAGACTCTTAAGTGTAACAGATTTTGACGAAATACTTCTGTCCTCAGTGCTGAAGTTAACACTTGATGAACCAAGTTACAAGGAAAAAGAAGTCCACCGACTTATACGTTAGACAAATTTTGGGCTCAGAAGGGCATTTTTTGTTCTGTCTTCCCTTGCCAGATTTGTACGGGTTTGCATAAAATATATTCATATGCGTTATTGACCGAACGTGAGGTCAAAATGGCTATATATTGGCCGAGTTCTTTTTTTTTTTTGCGTTTTTATGGACTGAGACGAAGTCACGGTCCATAAAAAAGTAGAAAAAGAACGAGGCTAATATCCAGTAATCTTGACCATACAAGAGAATTTATATTCTCTTGGCTTAATCATTAAAGGATTCATTGTATAGCAAAAGATTTCGCTTTGATAAGAATCAAGAATGGCCTGTTTATTTCGAGAGCCGATAGTGAAAGCCAACTGTGTTTGCAGCACAATAAACCCAAAAGGGTCGTTTATTTTTTCTATGTATATATGAAAACATTGTCCAAAAGTTACGAACTTTGTAAGTTTTCTTGCGTGGGATCAATACGGGGGATCCTGAATGGGCGAGGGTGGGCCCATCATGCCCGCTCAGGTAGCCAATCAGAACACAGGATTCACTTCATCTTGCCCGCGTGCGCTGCTAGCTATATGATAATGTGACTTGCAGAGCAAGATATCGACTGACCAATGATATGTTATCCCATTTCACGATCACAGGTCTCGACATGTTGCCTTTTTTCCACGCAAGAGTCAAATTGAACCATTGAGCTACACCATCCAACACATTATGGTCAGTTGGCGGTCTAATGAACCATTCATTTTTTTCCTTTAGCCCCTTATGACGGGTTCATCAGTTCCCGAACCGAAATATTAGGAAAACATACATTTTAAAGTTGATCTCAAGTTTATATTTCATTTTTTGTCTTCACCTCTTCTCCCCGCCGTGAGGGGAGAAAATGAATAGATAAATAGATGAATGAAAAAAGAAAGCTCAACAGTTTCCACTTATAGTCATATGGTACATGAACTGATTACTGTGGTGGAGTAAAGCCATAGAGGGCTGGAAATGCAACACCCCAGGTTCAAAATTGAATAAATCAGGATAGTCATTCTTAAAAATGAACTCAAATGCTTCATTAGAATCAATTGACACTGAATAACATTGATGTGCAAAATTTCAATAACGCTACTGATAATAATAATTTTCTTTTGGATTAACATGTGACACAGCGAAATCATTAAAACTGCTCTAAAATGGTGCATCACTTCTAAAGACTTTAACACGAACGATAACATCAACAATAGCATGCTAGTTCATCATCAATTGTAGTAAATTTCTTTTCCAAAAAGTCTTAATGGTTACGTACCAATCGATTCCATCCTATTGAGCTTCCAGCCAAGCACTAGCCCACTTTGGGCTGGAAATGATTTTCTTCAACTCGATCAATAAACCGCTATAAGGACCATACTTCGACTGCTGATATTTCTTATGTCTAGCAAGTAAAAAGACGCTGATTGATATCAGCGGGCCCATAATGTGACATGTATACTGGTCAGCGGTTTTTTTGGAGCAACAGCTGTCACTAACATATCAATGTGGATGTCCGCCATAACAACAATGCACTGCAGGAGTTAAACGATTGCATAAGAGGCTTATTACATTTAGGACTAAGTGTTATTACATTTAGGACTTTATTACATTTAGGACCAAATGTTATTACATTTAGGACTTTATTACATTTAGGACAGTTATTACATTTAGGACTTCAACAGGGTGCGGGTTATCTACAGGTTCGGTTCATTCGTCGGTGTTTATGAACTTTAAACTTACGAACTAAACTGACAAAATTATAGAAATTAACGAAGAAAACTACAGAACGTAAACAAAACTTACATTTACTACGGTGCTGGGCGAAATAATTAAACTGCACAAGGGTGACTAAGAAAAACGAAGAACTGCTTAAGAGAGTGAACCCAAAGAAAAAAACTCGAAAAATATCTGACTAATGACCAAGGTGCCACTCGCAAAGCCGCCAGGGGAAGGTTGTGCAAATATCCCATAGGTTACTTAATGCAAACTTCTTAAGTGATGAAAAACGGGTGTGGAAAGCGGCTGAATAGGTGATTAATAAACAATTTACGTGGACTAATTAAACTTAGTTAGACAGATAACAAAAGGAGATAAATGCAAAGCGTTTTATGATCTTACAACTTCTTCCACATCAAAACATCCCCTAGAATTTCTCACACACAACATGCAAATTTGTGATACCAGAGGGTGTTAATGGCGTACTTTGCATTTACAGCTAACGGTTGATTTCTTTCCGTTCCGGTTTTAAAAAAAAAATTAAACGGTTAACTTTTTTTACGACTGACGGTTTAAATTTGTAATTTTTTATGATTGCCAATTTTTTTTTGCCGCTTTACGGCTATAGGTTAACCCCATTGAGATCCTCATACAATAATTAATTCTTGTTTCAATCAATTCTAGGTGGATTATAGGTGAGAAATTTAAAACCAGAGTATGTTTTTTTTTATCATGTAACAATTTAAAAAACATATCTGTACATAAATAATTCAGTTTCATGAAAAGATTTTCTTTTATTCATACTCTGACCCATAGCAGCTTTCTTCCCACAGCAAATGCAGTTCCTATGCCAAGAGTTTTCAATTTTTCCTTTTTTTTTTTTGAGCGTGCGAGTTCGATGGACAGACAATTTAATTCAGGTTACTAAAAGGTAATGCTTACGTCTGCCAATCTTAAAGCACTAATTACGACTATTGTTAATTGTATAGATGACTTGATATAACAACTTGATTATCAAAAAAGGTACAAAGGTTGGATGGTACAAATCTAGGTTGCCACTTTGCTGAAGCATGCTGAGTGGGAACCTAGATAGAGGTGAGTTGAAAGGATGTTTTGATTTTATCATTCTTTTCCTGGCCTTTTCCTCATGCTCTAGAGAAACACTTGTGCAAAGGTCGCAAATACTAGTCTCCCAGTTGGCGAGCTGGAGAAAGCTTTTATATTTTGAAG